GGTAAAATTCTCCTTTAAATATGCAAAATCGTTGCAACTATCAATAGATAGAAATAAATTTAATATTGAGGCAAGAACTTGAAATATAACTTTCTGGGGAAAATTGTCTGTGTGAACATCAAAGCAATCAAGCTATTATAGAAGGATTAGCAGGGTGTGTTGCTTTTCCATGGTTATATTACAAGATAGATAAAAAGAAGATAATTGGATTTTCACTATGAGATAGTCATTTTGACAAATTGCTTAATTTATGAAATAGATGAGACTTTTCTTTACTTTGGAAAGATATGCAACAGTATTTATGACGATCATTTTAGCAAAATAAAAGGATAGTGCAATATCACTGGTACTCACCTAGTTACGCTGACGATACGTCAGCGTAACAAGATGGAAGAACTTCCGGGCTTCGTTTTCAGTAAGATATTTTTATTTCTCATTACATTCTACAAGTAAATACGTTCAATATTTTTAGCTTGCTTAACAGATTTTCATGATAGTTTTGTAAGTGTTAGTATGGGTCCCACATCTTTTTGATGAATGAAATTGACAAGTTTGGCTTGTACTTCTCATAGGAACCTTTCATGCTATCTGTCAAGTAGTGCCCTTATTAGGCAATTAGAATCAGAAAAAACTCCAAATAAGAAATGTATGGTATAAATGAATCAATATGCAAAGGGCATTTCACCAGTGCATTTATTTTTGGTTTGGTAGATGATTTTATGTCTCCACCAAGAAGTGTGACACTTTTGTAATATTAACCAGTTGGTGACACTGAGATGACAGTAAATGAATCAAACTGTTAAGCTCCCCCTACCCTTTATTAGGACCTGAGTAGTTATGATACTTGCCTCTGGTCATCAGGATACCAACTTTCATATAAACATGATACAAAGCTACTTGACAGACCTCCTTCAATCAAGAAGCCTTGAGTAAATGTTAAGCAGTTGGAATTAAATGCTTAGCAGAACAACTTTCACACTTGTCTGGAAAGTTATAATGAACCGTGATTGCTCTCAATGGAAATTTCTTCTTCTATTATTACTTCATCCATTGGTATTTTAGTATTTTTACGCATCTGTAGAGCATGTTAACTTAAATGCTGATTTAAAGTACATCTTTCTGAGTTACCAGACCCTCAGATGGTTTAGCTGACTTGATGAGATTTCAGGCAGTAGTTTTTCTCTTAATTGAAACAGCTCTGATTTTTTAGATTCTGACTCGTACAAGGCCAAGCCTTGCTGCGGTTGTGTTGTTTTAAACTGCCATTGATTGTGTCGTGTTTCTTATATTTTATCCTCCATAGGATTGGAATAACTGGATATTGCAACCTGTCGTGAATTTGAGGATTATCTCGCACCAAGTTCAAAATCCAGAGTGAACATTTTTCAGAGTCCAGTGACCAAATGATTAATGTTGATTGAATGAACCTCTTTAAGTAGAGCATATCACAAGTAGAACATTTTACAGTTACCTAAGATGTTCTACTTAAACAAGTTTTACTGTATTTGTACTGTGTTGAGAATATTGTTAAAATCAAGAATTTAAGAATATTTTATTTACTTTTGATATTTCTTAGTTAGAACTGGTAAAAGAAGAGTTTTGTAACTAATCAAGAAAAACTATTGAGAGCAAGAACAGTACTCTTTTTCTTTAATGGAATAGAATGTAATGCAGCAATTTGTGAATGTAAACTGTCGATTGGGAATATCATTGTGTTTCTAGGGAAATTAATGACTTGGTTGAGTGAATGGGTTGAGTTTATCTTATCTAGGAAGTATTGACCTTATATAATGCAATTTTCTCATATCTAGCAGCCTCTGTAGTTGCTCTTGCAAGTGGAAAATAAAGATGGACTCAGATTGTGATTTAGTATGTAATTTCTTATTTCAAGGCAAAAGAGATTTGAAATAGAATCTCAAGGTAATACTATTGTAATGTACAACTATGTTTATAGTCTTATTTACTAAGAATGATATCTCTAAATAGAATTCAATTTGAAGAACTGGTAGAAATCCTGGATTTTAAAAAGAACCAAATGAGATGTTAGTTATTTTTATACATACAGCATACAGCAAAACCCGTCTCATCCAATTATCACTGTAAAATTGAAGTTTATGGCAGGTTTAATAAATAGCCATAGTTTGCTCCTGAAATATTAAATAAATGGCAATGGGACTGAAAAAAACCGTTCACATAGAGAGGTGTTCAGATTAGAAAGGTGTTCAGCTATACAGGTTTTACTGTGTGCTACATCTTGATTGAAGTAAACTGGAAGCATATGGAGATGATTTTAAATCTTGTAAGGTGTAAATTGTTCTAACAGGGCATCATGTAGTGGAGGTAGTTACATTTCCTCATATGTTCACCAACATGTTACCATGTAGCACAAAAACTGTAAGCTAAATGTTACCTTTTATAAATGAGGAGTAAGTGGTTGGATTGCAGGTAGCAGATAAATTATTTATCTCATCCTTTTGGGTATGTATATCCATGACAAGGGTGATATACATCATGTGGCCTTACTATGATTTGACCATAATCTCCTCTACCACATAAAAATCTAATATTTTCCCTAGAATAATTCCATCACCCTAAACCTCACAGGGGTAGACCTAAATAGGAATTAAATAGAAATGGAATGAAGCTTATTTTCAAAAATGAGGCCTAAATCAATTTTGGGCCTATCAAGGAAGGGAGGGAAGGGGGAGGGGCAATGGCAATATTTTCAGGTATGAACATGTTTTCCTGTTTTAAGAACAAACTACTAAAATACAGGGTGGTCAAAAACATGGAAACCCTGGATTTTCCTCATAATTTGTTATTTTGGGTAATTATTCCCTGAAATTTGACACACATGTACAACATTCAATTTCCTACCAGCTAATCATATTTCATGACCATCAGATTGATAGTCACAATGGTACAGCACTTTGAATAAGATGCCCCAGTGTGGCCACCATCGCACTATTGGCAAATCTGAACAGGTTGGCAATGATCTGACTACATTTTTCAGCAGGTATGGCCTGAATGACATGGATGATCTGCTTTTTGAGGTCTGCAATTGTCCTGGGGTTATTCTCGTACATTCTTTTTGGTGTATCACCACAGGTTGAAGTTAGGTAGGGACATTTTGGATGATATGTGCAGGTTTGCCGAAAGTGCAATGTTGGCAAATGGAGCATGTTGTTTAAAGTGCTGTAACATTGTGACTATCAATTTGATGGTCATGAAATATGGTAGGCCGGTAGGAAATTGAATGATGTACAAATGTGCTAAATATCAGGGAGTAATATCCTAAAATGACAAAGATATGATGAAAATGGCGACAGGGTTTCCATTTTTTTGACCACCCTGTAGAAGGATGATAATTTCAAATAGTGGTTTCATTTTCACTACTGTATTTCTGGAGAGTTGAGTTTGATCTATTTTCATAAAGTCAATAAAACTCTTGAATAAGAAAAAGTGGTTGGTAGTTCAAGCACCATAATTATTTTGAGGCTGTCAATAAGAAATTTCTTACATGTAACATAACTCATGAAAAGTAAAATAATATGTATATATGTACAGAATTTGATTTAAACAACTATTTATGATTTTATATCTAAATTATTTACTTACTTAGGCCATAAGAAGTAGATTCTTTGTTTTGCGTCCTGCCAAAATCCAAATCATGCAAGGGTACAAGGAAAACAAACACAAACTCAAGAAAAAACACAAACTTGTTTGCTGAGAAATGTACACATTTTATGGGCATAGAAAGGGATGACATGCCAATTTGCAGTGATTACAAACACATATCTATACATTTTATACAATATATTTAAACTTCAAGGGTAAAAAATAAGAAAATACACAATGTATGCCAAAATAATTATAACACTGTCAATTTTGAGGCACATCAAATTATCCGCCATTTCGTCTGATTCTGATTGAACGAAATGTAATGGTACTTTCAGACCCTTGTGATTGCTATTTTGATGTGTTTGTTTTTTCTGATTTACTCAAAATCGTTCAAGCAAGGGGACGCAAAACAAAGAATCTACTTCTTATGGCCTTAATCATAAATTAAAACAGTTTTACTATTCAGAGTTGAATGTATGGTGAGATAATAATGTTATAAGTTATAACTCTAATTAAAAGTTGAACACCTTCAATAAAATATTGGTCAAAGATAAGAGATATGTTGTTGTTACCCTGACCTCATAATCTTGATAGCCTCTAACTACGACCAGTCATTTTTCAGTTTGGAATTCAGTCACTCGGATATCACTGCAGATCATTTAACAATATACAAATCCCTGTAGCTGGGATATACGAGAGGCTTTAATTGGCTAGTGATTTCAAATGTTCATAAGTAATATTTGAATTATCAGTCATTCATCCAAAGGGTATCTAGATATTGAAATAGACCAAAGCCTGTTTAGATTCATTGTGATAGTATTTGATTCATAAGTAGGTTGTGGGTGGGTGGTTAGGTTGTTTGGATGACATCATGTTAGTTTAATTTCAGTAGGAGAAAATAGGATGTGTTGTTGAATACCTGTACATGTGATATGAACATGAAGCATGTATATTTCTCTTCAGTTTATTTCTCTTAAAGTGCATAGCCTTAGGAAAATATGAAGCATTTGTCAGAGCCATGTATTAAAACTGATATTCTAGGTGTAGCATCATGTAATAAGTAATGGACCTTGTATATAATGTATTAGTACAAGTTCAAAATGAATTGATGTTTCATATTGAAAATTATACCTGTAACTATAGAAACAAAAAATAAGTATGAGAACATTTTTTGCACATTTTATTTGTATTTATTGAACTACCCTCACTAGTCAATTGCTATATACATGTATATCACTTACTTGTGACATCACATTACGACCATACTTTAACAAAAACAAGCAAACAAATGTACAAGCAACAACAAACAATGAAAAAAATCCAGTATTGAATCTTATCGAAGTCCATTTTCATAACACCCAATTTTTATATTCTTTCAGTTTGTTGAAGACTATGAACCTACAAAAGCTGATTCATACCGCAAAAAAGTAACTCTAGATGGTGAAGAGGTTCAGATAGATATCCTAGATACAGCAGGCCAGGAAGATTATGCTGCCATTAGAGACAATTATTTCCGTAGCGGTGAAGGATTTCTATGTGTTTTCTCAATTACTGAACAGGAATCATTTCAAGCCACAGCTGAATTTAGGTAATTTTAAGAGTAAGATTAAGGTAAAGTTGATCGATCAACTTTCTGTTCAGATGGAATTTAACTTTTTGAACAGTCATGCTGTTTTGCATCAAGCCGCTCTACCCTTCCAATTAATTCACTAGGTTATCTGATGTAAAACAGGGGGGGGGGGGTTACAAAAGCTTGAAGCAAGAACCGAAATTTGCTGAAATTCCTGAGATTTCAAGATTTTGATAATTTTGATATACCTCAGTTATTAAAATACAAATATATTACACAAATATTTCATTCTGTGCTTCCATTGAAAGCAATCTTCCCCTATATGCGGAATATTATGTACATCCATGAAATTTATTTTCAGAGAACAAATATTAAGAGTAAAGAATGATGAGAACATTCCATTCCTGTTGGTAGGAAACAAAGCTGATTTAGAAGAGAAAAGACAAGTCACTTTAGAAGAAGCAACCACAAGAGCACAACAATGGAATGTTCCTTATGTAGAGACATCTGCCAAAACCAGAGCCAATGTAGATAAGGTAAAGGCCTGCATGTATTGTGTACTTCCTATTAAATTTCATGTAGAGTTGAAACCCTAGTCTTGGATCAAGTTTGTATTTCTCATTCCACCAGGAAGATTTTGGGTAAATATAGACTTAATGCATGACTATGGATGCCCCAAGTTGCACTTGTGCCCATATTATGGAGTTTTATTGTCCCATGGGGGGTTTCATGAGTAATACCTCTTTTCATTTTGTTTTTTTTTGTATCTGTTGAAGACAGACCTAGAAATCTTGCGTTTATGGGCCCTTGTTTTATTGAGCACATGTGCAAAGATAGCCCTGGTATTTATTATGAAGTGTATTATTGAATTGAGTGAAATACGTATATTGTGTTCCCTCCATAATATGAGCACGAGTGATAACATTTATTTAAGAATATATTAACATTAAGCATGTTTTGGTTCAATTATCAGCAAGTTTGAATATAATATTAGTTTATAGTTTAATTACAGTTGTATTTTATATGTTTAGTTGGAAATTCAGTTGACCAGATTTTCATATGATGCATTGATTGAAACTTTAGTTTTGAATGAAATATTGTGCGCCATTAAATACACTAAAATTGCCTAGTTTTTTACTAACATGTGGAAGTTTGATTTTTTAAATGCACTGATGTTAATTGACAGCATTTGTGAGAAATTGATGCAAAATTGAGATAATAAGTGATTTATTTAATATCAGAAATTGCTTCATTTCTATGAAATTGATTTCAGTCAGAAATTGATGAAAATCTACATTGGAAATTGAAAGAATATTAGATCTGTCCCGTATATGACCCCATAAATGGGAAATGTCTCACATAAATATTGAATCTTGCATATTGTATCGGAAAACAATTGTGAATTGTCACATTTGCTGTCAAATTATACATATCGTGGTTTAATTTGGTTACATTACAACATCAAGCATGTATATTACGTTTTAGAGTTTTTACGATCTGATGCGAGTTATTCGAGCCAAGAAAGAAGTTAGCCCTCCACAAAGTGGCGGCAAAAAGGCACCAGGCCAGCCTAGCCATGGCAAGAAGAAAAAGAAGAAGTGTACAATTCTATAGAGTATTATCACCCATGTATGTTATGTTATGTTTAATATGTGCATTTGGTGTAGTCTTTTCCTGGATTAGTTTCACTGACTGTAGTAGACTTGATTGATTTCACAAATATAGATAGTATTATGTATAACCCCACAAAACCTCACTAAAACCTTACATCCAGAACCTCAGCAACCCTAATGTACTTTATACACGAACTCCCGTGTAGTGATATATCACTGCGGCGGGGAGGTATCTCACCGTAAGCATGGTAAGGTCGTAATAAACAACTGATGTGATTGGTTCTAGTCCCATGCTCAGGTCGCGTGATTGTAAAATTTCATTGGTTGAATTACGCGTATTAACTAATAAACAACACGTGCGGTAAACTATTATCAACACAACTTTTACTCAGAATTCCTTCCGCGGTGATTTCTTCTCATATTTCAATAATTTTGAAATATTTTGACAAAATAATGTTTGGGGAACATTTATGGATACATATTTCATAAGTTGTGTGAAAATTGACCACATATATGATGAAAAGGGGAACTATTTTCCCCAAATTTTGGGGATTTTCTTCATCTGCCCGCCGCAGTGTCTATACCGAGACACTGCATGGGAGTTATCTCTTACATTACATGGTTAAACTGGAGGCAACATTTTTCATCATACAGTCGAAGTACTAAATGATTTCGTTCTTGATTTCATCTTGAATTTTATTATCTGATCAGACATACAAATCCAGAAAAATGCTTAACTTTTATGTCAGGGTTTAATAGTTTACTTAGTTTAGAGTTACATCTTTCTATGACTCAAATTCACTGAAATTCTGGACATTCAAAGCCAGAAATAGCTCCAGGTAAATTCTGAAATAATCCATTATGGTTGGAAATGGAGATGCCTTAAGAATATCTGAAACCAATCAATGCAATTGAAGGGTGATCTAGTCTAATCAAGGAAACATTTCAAGGTAAAGCTGGGAATGTTGCTACTGCTTTAGATTCAAATCCTTACTGAAAATTTTGGGAATCAACAAGTCCTTGATTTCAAATTTTGATTTGGAATTCTTTTGTTCTGTCTATATTTTATTGTATATGCTAGTGATTTTTTTACTTTATACAGAATCTAATAATAAAATCCTGATCATTATGTTGATGGTTTGTCAGATTAGTTTGATTCCCATGTATATTTTTCTTAGGGTTATATTCCTTTGCTTGCTGTGGTACTACCTTAATGTTATCATTCACATTCCTACTGTAGATATCTTCACATACTGTTGTATAGTATTGCACAATCTCACGCTTTTCAATTCAAAATAACATGTTTTTAGTCTTCTCAGTATAAGTCCTCATTCAAAGGGAGAGTTTATGCAATTCTGAATCTAAAATCAGCTCAAAATGTAGTTCTATTCCAACATCACCCCCAAAAGTTTTAATGTTACCACCGCAAGCTTTTTTATGGACAGTGTTTGATGTTTGGCATCTGTAACAAATGGCAGGTTGTAACATTTTGCATGATCTGTCACCATCAATAAACTTAAATCCTTTCATAAATTAAAATCATTTTGGGTTGTAGGATTACAATTTCAGAGACAATTCCTTTACATTCAAAATACTGGCTTTGGAAAACAGGATACATATCTTGATGCATATATATACACACTTTTTATAGTAAAATATCTGACTGTAATCCAATTTTTTTTTTTTGGAAATATGTAGGCAGAATGTACTAAATGAATACAAACTATTTCTTCCTCAACATTTAGTTATAGTATTCTTGAGTGTTAGTTGCATGTATGATACCACCTGCCAAATATTTTCTTCTGCACTTTTTGCCAGTAAAATATTATAGGTCTTTAACATGGGGGTCACACCATTAGTCTGAAATCTATTAAACCAAAATGCAATCCATGAATGAGACAATAAATGATTGATTTTGGGCCATTGAGATTTAGTGTTTTTGGACCATGAAGTGGTGAGTTATGGTAGGATGAATGGGTTTAAAAGTTAGACCATTATTCAGACCAATAGGTTATGGACTTACCCATTAACAGCTGTAAATACACAACTGCTTTAAGGTTGTGGCATAATTTTTTTTATACTATAGTTAGTCTAACATATGTAAGGGAAATCCATCTACAGTACATGCTTTGGTATCCTAAGAATATTTTAGCATACTTCCCATATTCCCTTCTGTTTGTTTAGACAACTCATCTAGTTTCTGGAAAAGTGCTGTACTGTCAGAATATAAAGTGGCAACAGAGAGTAATAGGTGGAAGTAGCACATTTTATTACCCTCTAAAATCAATTAAGCCCTCATGAAGTGGAACTGTGCTGTTTTTTAGTGTTCCCATATCAATTTTAGTCATTTATGATTGTTTGAAGCAAAGCATGAAGGGCAATCCCATAGTTCCATGCTCTACATATGAATCCAGTTGGTCACTATTGCTCATCTGGTACAATCTTTATATGTGACTTATTATGGGATAGGATTACCTCTCTTGAAACTGGTGAAGGCTTTGGTGAAAGGCATATGAGATTATCACTTGCTCAAGTTTGTTGAAATCATTCACTCATCTTTATTCTAACATGTAAATGCACTCACTGCAAATAATCCAAGGTGCAATATTGTTCAGTATGCAGGTCCTATATTGCACCCCAGATACATGTATAGCCATTTGTAATAGTATACAGGGTGGGCCAAAAAACCTATACCCAAATTTAAAGATGAACGATTCATATAATATATCTTAAACCTTGTCATGTATTATATATAATTTTAAAGATAAATCATTTCCTAACAATATGACACCATTCCATTAAAAAACTTTTATTTCCTTGTGAAGATAGAGGCTAAAATTGACATTAGGGGTGTCATGAGTGACCAAAAATCAGAAAATGAAAATTCAAAAAATGTACACCCGTATTGCAGTCACAGTTGCGCTCAATATGCTTGACCGAATCCTTATAAATTCATTTAAAAGTAATTCACAATCAATATTTATTACAAAGATATAAGTTTAGTGAATTTTGGACTAAACTTGTATAAATGTACATCTTTTGAAGGTGCCAAAGTTCAAATTTCCCTCCATTTTCCACAGTTTGAAACTCTGAAGTGAATAATTTTTTGGTCGCTCAGGGTGTAATTTCTAGCCTCTAACTCTTCAATAAAGCAAGAGTTTTTCAATTGGATGGTCTCATATTGTTAGGAAATGATTTATCTTTAAAATGATATACTATACATGGCATGAGTTAACATATATTGTATGATATTTATCTTTAAACTTGGGTATTGTTTTTTTGGCCCAGTCTGAATATGTCAGGTAATCATAGGTGAAATTTTGCATGTATTTTTGAAGAACATTTCATTTGGAATTAACATGTCAGATAAGGCTAACATTCCATTAATTCAATGTTGAGACAGCTTGTTATTGATAAATACCCTCTGATATCATATAATATATTATGACATGTATGATGATTCTATAAAATATTTGATATTTATAATATATTTATATAAATTGACATCTGCTTTCAGGTTTTCTTTGACCTCATGAGGGAAATAAGAGCACAGAAAGCAGAAGCAAACAAACAAACAAATGGCAAGAAAAGCAAAACTAAAGAAAAGAAGCGAAAATGTTGTATTTTGTGAGCAAGTTAGGAAATGTTAGAACACAACAATTATAAATGTAATTTATAGAAATGGATTTATTTAAATTACTATTCGTGATGAGGTCAGAGTGGGTTATCTCACTGATGATCTCGATGGGCTAGACTGCCCCCCCCCCCCTCACCTGGATAGAATTCTTTTCTAAATTAAATCAAATGGGCACAATATTGGCTATGTGACAACGAATCCTGGTTTAAAGTTTGTGGCAAATTAGAGCCCTCCTACAGATGATAGATGGGAACTGCAAACTCAAGCTTGGTCAACTTAGGAGCTCACATTGAAACTAAAAAGTGGACAAAGTTAATATTTGAAGCAATCATATTAAAACAAAAGATGATTAATACAAAGATTAAAATTTTTGCATAGTCCAAGCAGTGACTCAAGAAACCTGTGCCAGTGTAAAATTGCAGCATGGCGACAAAAATCAAATTAGAAAATTGATGCAAACCTCAAATAAATATTTCTGTGAGGTCATTCATATTTTCTTAGATGTATTTAGGAAGTTCCTGGTTTGGTTGCCATGGCAACATTAGATGTGAGAACCTCAAAAAATTTAATGCCTCTCTTCACTTCTCATGTAACCACCTTGTCTTGGACATTTTATACGCAAAATGAAATAACTAGTTGATACTGTAGATACTAGGATTGTTTGATAATGTTATCTTCAATGGAGGTTTTCATTTTGAGATACACTTGCTTGATCATATACTTTCTACTACAATTAACCTCTGAATGCTGAGCAACAAAAATTTTTACACAAAGTTTAAGACCAATATGTCTTAGAAATTCAAAACATTTATCAAATTTACGCAAATTATTAACTGAAACATGCACAATGGGTCATTCTTATTTTAGTATCAGTGAAGCTGAATGACAAAGACTGACAAAAATAAAAAAATTCTTTGCCATCCAGTCCAAGAGGTTAATTGCTGATGCCATCATCTAGAAACACTTGACAAGTGTAAACTTAACATTTAGCATATCATCCACTATCAATTTCGAACTCCATGAAAACATGTTTTATATGACCTTCATGGTGGATTCACCATGATTTTTGCAAAATTGCTAAACATATAATTTAACTGTTGTAGCCTTATTAGATAAGATGATCAATGTATTCATTTAAAGTTAAAGTGTGTCATACATTTTAGAAAAGTGCATCAAACATATTGTGGGTGCTTTAAATATAATCATCCCATATTGTAATATATCATATCATATCTCATAGATACACATGTATCATTTTGTATATATTAAATGTATTGTATATATAAGTCGCCAATAAGGTGCTCAGTAGATTGATTGTAACAAAGAAACTGTGACATTGTATGTTGACGTTTTTTAAAGAGTCGTGTTCATGAACTTTATTCATGAACATATTGTTCATGGCTTTCGAATGGTATATTATTAACATGTTAAACATCAAAGGTAGAATCGAGTAGTATTTCTGTGAATGACAATTATCTAGGGTGAAATTGCTATGTTCAAACTTCAAGTGTGAAAAAGAACTAGCGAAAAAGTATTTGCAGTTCAGAAGTGAGTTCATGAAAGCAAAATGGGAGATCTGCTATTGAAATATTTGTCCTTCAATTTTCATATAAGCTTTGTATATATTGTGATTTTTAGTATGGAGTCATATCAGTGTGATTGTGAATGTATGGTACTGTTGTATATGAACAATAATATAATACAAACTATACAATGACAAAATATGCTGCATTGCTATGATATTGATGGCCTTTAATAGATGATGCTTGTAAATCAATGTGAATCATTATATCAACATGGCATTATATTGTAGTATAATATTTCATTGTAACATTATGCTGAATTTTACAATTGATTAAAACATGCAAGGGGAGATTCAAGTAAGCGTGGTACAAAGTTTAAGCCTGCTTAGAAACTATCTGTGTAATTGGGAGTAAACTCATCAAATACATTGAGGAATTGGTTAAATGTGACTGAATGTCTTGATTTGTCCTCAGATGAGTCATATCGGGGAATGGTAATATCATAATAAAGACACTGAGCCCAGTAGTGTTTTACACCATTGCCCTGGGGCCCAGTAATACGTTATAAAATGTATCCTAGTGTACCGAGTTGTTAATATGGAGTGTATTGTACTGTATAGGAGGGACATTTTACTACTGTATTCCTGGGCCTCAGCAATTACCTGTTCTATAATATTCCTGATTGTTAATGGAAAACCTCATCAATGTATGTCTATCAGTGTGCTTGTTAAACTATCATGCCATCTATAGGACAAATCTATATTCTCCATTCATAGAAATTTTATTCAGTATTCATACTACTTGGAATCTTATTTTCTATTCAGTCAGTAAATTCATACTTAGGGATGTTGTCCAAATGCCAACTGCGGTTGTGGAAGAACAGTGTTATTTCACAAGGGGGAAGGAGTAAATAACAATTTACCAAAGTAGAGAATGTTGATTTTTTGAAAAATTCAACGAAAGATAAATCAACATTTTGTTTTTCCAAGACTCAGCTTTTGGACACCATTCCTCGATCCCTTTGTGAACAAAAAATATCTTTTAAAGTGCTGACTGCATCATATTATCCGATAGGTTTTGTATGAAGCTTTTCAGTTCATAAGAAAGCCATCAAATAGGATCTGGTTGGTTAGATATGTGCATTAAATCAATTCATACTTAGACTCGTATGAACTTCGAATTCAGTTCTGTTCATCAAACCAAAGGTTTTATGAATGTATAATGCATGTTTTTAGAAAAATGCCAAATTGCATCAGGTTTGATAGTTTATATGTGCAGTTTACAAAAATATAGTATCTTCCATTCCTCTTGCAGTAGTTCATCAGTTAGATTTATTTATTTTCATACTTGAATATGATTTCTCAGATTAGATTTATTGTTTTTGTTGTCTATCAAGTTTATATTTTCATAAAACTAATTGATTGATGATGTTGTTTTAACCTATCAAATAGCCTACTACTACATGTAGTGTACTTTGTACTTATTTATACCCTGTATTGAATTTATGGACTTAGTTTTTATACAGTGCCATGATATTCATGTGTACAAAGATTGAGACAGTCAATTATTTGTGTACAATACTGTAAGGTACCAATACCATGTAATGTACTTGTATGTATCAGAATAATCATCATTTCTTAAAAAATTCATAAAAATCTTGTGTTTTATACTACAAACAACTATGAATTTTACTGAATACTCACTTCAGTCATTAAATATTTAATTTAGTCAAAGTGATATCATATTTGAAATCTACAAAGAAATACAAAATTACACCATGATTTTGAAATTTTAATTTGCTTTGAAGCTGGGTAGATATCCTAAAGAACCCATGTTGTAAAATAATGAAAATTGAAAGTGCATTTCTTGACTTTCTTGTATGGGACAGATGATAATTTTATTACACATTGTTGTATAAGCCATTATTACTCACAGTCACAAAGGTTAGATGAAAATTGATCCTCTAAATTGATTTATTATTTAGTTTAGGCATTTTTTCATGTCTCCAATGGTCTGCCAAATTAATTAAATACCTGCATAGAGCCAAAAAGTTTTAAAATCAAGTACATGTACAATGTCCTTAAAAGCTGCGTATCAGCATGTTTGTCATCATGGGGATAGATACAAAATCCTCATTATCCCAGAACTCAAGTTAATCAAATCTCAACAAGTAGATTCACATGGGAGAGAATTGGTAGAATCTATTTTCAATAGTAACAATAGGGTTTCTAAACAGGACATTTAAAATTTGACTTTTTGATAATCTTGGTGGGCTTACTAGCAGTAGTCTACAGGTGAATTTGGAAATGATTTTGTTATTTGAGGGACCATCTCATATGTTCATCTCATTTGTTTTGTGCTAGATGATGTCATGCATAATCAGTTTTCATAATTAAGTGGCAAAATGTCATTTTTATTATGCTCAACGAATTGTGGTTTAATTTAGGTTTACCCAAATCATATTCTATCTAAAGCTAGTAAAGGACAAACCCCCGTTGAAAGCCCGTGCAAAAACAAACTGCATCTTTGATGAAGATTTTAAATAACATTCATCTCACCATCATGGGCTCAAAAGTTAAATTCTTACAATCCCGTTGTTTTCAAAAATAATGTTTTGTTACCAATGTAGTTGGGTGGTGTTGGTGTGAGATTATTTGTAGTTATCCCGTACCAGGACTTTAGACTATAGTCCTGGCACGGGATAAATTTGTAGAACTTGGTTCAAAACTTTTTAGACGACCCCCAGATGAAGACGGAAGTAAAACTCGCGCATGCGTGCTATTGATGGTGGACATCCCGGAAATAACGGGGAACGGAGATTGTACACAATTTAACTACGAATTGTCTTCGTATAGTAAAACACAACGGGTATGTATATGTTTATATTTTGAGTTGAATGTTTATTCCACACTTTGACTATGGAAAACTTTGTGTATCGTACTTAATTTTCATATTTTGCCAAATTAAAAAAAGTTGATCACTTCGACTGACCAGAGTTTCAAAAATTATTCATTATTTTTTATTTTTCAATAAATGTACTCGTTTCCGATTTACGGTTCTTAACAGCTTCTTTTATGATGGCTGGAACTCGAGAAGCTGTATTTGCAAGACCAGAATAGTCTATTCTTCAATAGATGTTGTTGGTAGAGTTATCTAACCCCACACAGGAACTTGAACCTTCGTCTAAGGCCACTGTATCGTGGCCTTTGTCCAAAGATAAATTCCTGCATGTATAATGGGTCATGTCGTAATCATAAAATTTGAAATCAAATGTCCGCCATTTTTCCACATTTCGTCCACGGACGTCAAGTAAGTTTCTGGCGAAAGCCGGAGCATAGATTATTTAGAGGACTGGAAACCAGAATGACCTACCTTTTTATTTCCCGAATCTCGCCTGAAATTAGCTCATCTTGGTGACTGTAACCTGTATATCTGTATTAATAGAGTCTTTTTGTATCACATCTGCCTCAATTTTAAAGTTTAATTGGTATCTTTAATATGATTTCACTGTTTTTGTGGACTGGTACGATTAAGCCAAGCAAATGGCAGCTGATCTGTTCAAAGTACTTTTAGTACTAATTATCGCAAATGACAATAATTTTGAAAACAAAATTATACTAAATAGATTACTAAGCATCTAAGGTAAGTAAAACTAGATGAACAACTGAGTCAATAGTGAGAAATAGGCCAAAATGAACTGCCAGAATTGAAATAGACTGCCATCTTGTTTCCAGTCCTCTAAATAATCTATGCTCCAGCTTTCGCCAGAAACGTACTTGACGTCCGTGATTTCGTCCAGTTTTCGATTATAGCCATTTTGTTTTAATTTTAGACGAAATCCTGAAATCATGCAATATCTCATCCAGGAGCTGAGACAGCCGGTCCTATTTTGACTTGATTTATTTATCTGGCGATTTTTAGAATATTTGATAAATTTATGACACCACGGCCAGCTTTTTTCAAATGGAGTTCACAGTATTCCAGATGATATCTATCCCAAAAATTGGCTAGAGACTCGAATAAGTAGCACTAACTCTATGAGTTGCTCATGTCAGATCTGGGTCTATATATATAGATATATTGATTCAGATCTGGCATAAGCATCTCATATCATTGAGTGCTACAAGTTCCTGTGTAACCTCACTCACCTACCCCCACCACAGATGTTGGCCAGATCTTTTTGTAGTAGGATCTCATAGGCTCAAAGAATAATTCACAAGATGCATCACTATATTAGAAAATTTAAAAAAAAGTGACCACCTTTCAAAACGTTCCTTATACAAAATGGTACCTGCTTCTCTGTGACAGATTTTCACTTATTTTATAGCTGAGATCTTCATTTTTCTATTTCTACTTGTTTGGTTCGAGAAAATAACCTATGGATGCAGTTATTTGACTTTTAATACGGCAAATATTTTTCACTTGATCCGGGCTCTTGTGTGTCCAAATATCATTGTAATGCTGACGTCATATTTCTGGAATCATGGGAGCACCATTCAGATTTGGACAGACAAGAGCAGAAGATAAAATATCACTATTTTTGCCTTTTATCAACGAAATTTTCTTAGGTGTCATATCTTGAGAATTATTCTTTGAGCTTCTGATCCTAGTCCTACTACAAAAGAATCTGGCCGGGATCTATGACCCCCACAATTACATCTTCGTTCACTCGGCTCCCGTCATTGACCGAGCGTGGGAAGATGCACAACTATTTGTGTATTGGAATCTTGGGGTTTTAAATGTTGTCAGTAGTTGACACAAAGCTGAATTTTTATCTAAATAATGACTAAGAGTACAACATAACAAAAGCGAGGGACTAAATATGTGTATTGTGTCTTCATTGATATACCAAACATAGAACCGCCTGTATATTCTCAAACTAGACTATTTGCCTTAACTTTGAGCCAAAGTATTGTCCACAACTTAAATTATAAGTGGTGTAGAATCAAGAAATTAAAATATCTTACCGAAAACGAAGCTCGGAAGTTCTTCCATCTGACGTATCGTCAGCGTAACTAGATGAGAAGCAGTGAAGTTGAAAGTTCTCCTATAAACTGATCATATACAGCATGTTATGAAAGAGAAATTTCCCTTCCATATTTTCAAAGCTATTGGGGGTTGTTGCACATGGGTCTCGCGATCTGAGTGGTCCATTCACGTAAATAAGATGTAATGGATCGGATTTTATGAATAGGTTACATTTGAAGTATTATCTGGCCAGAATAGCAAGATTGAGGTATGAAATATTTTTTCCTATATATCATTTTGGGTGTTATCCACCTGGGTTATCCAGGGCTTGTATAACTGCCAAAACTGGATATAATCATGATAAAGATGCAATTTATTTTTTGAAAAATATCAATATTTCTTTCTGAAATTACTTTCATGAAGCAAATTTTCTTCTCTCAGCCAGTCTCTGATTGGACCCTTTATTTAAGTATCAGGATTGGACAAACTTTGATATGGGATCAATTATACATGATCCCAGACCTATGACTCTCAGCAGTGGCATAGCGTGGGTACTTTGTGAGAGTACGCCATGAGTGAGCGAAGCGAAAAAGCTTTGAGGGGAGTTTGAGAGATTTCTCCCCCAAAGAAAATTTAAAAATGAGATTGCATTTGACAGTTTGAAGCGTTCTGGGGCGTTTTAAAATATGAAAATCCGACAAATATAATGAAATGTATCCTTTATTATTTGTGAGCCAATTCAATATAAAAAATCAGCTTTTTCTAAATTTTGAGAGTATGCCATGGTGTTTTATGCGTATATGACGCTACGCCATTGATCTCAGTACAAAGAGAGTTGGGGAAGGGGGTAGATTTTCTTCTCGGAGTAACTCTACCATCTATTCTTGTATCTATCTGACAACAATAGTATAATCAGTTAAAGTTTTATCCTCTTTCATATTTTCAACACCATGAACTTTGTTCATCTTTCTGTGATGCTCCGCCTTCTCCCTGTTCGTATTAAAACAGATATAGATCTGATATCTGATTTAAAATAAATAGATTTGCTTGCATCGATAATATAAAGAAGGACCAAAGAATAATTGGTGCTAACTCAAGATTAAAACAGACTTTTTCTATTCCTCTTAGCATCCCCCTGGAAGTATTCCACGAATGATTTGGTTCATACATAAATATTAAATCATGTCTTGGAAGTAGGTGTTAACAATTATTACTGGAGCATGATTAGCATGTCTATCTCATGTATGTGCATTGTAGTCTAATTACAGTGAAACCTACCTAATCTGATTGCCATTTGGACTGGCTAAAAGCATTTGGAACAGGTGTTCACATATCAAGGTTTTTACATTTGCGAGATTCTGGAGTTTGAAGAAATATGAAGACATTCTCATTAAATATTTATAGTTCTTTTGACCTCATAGCTTTATGGCATTCCAGTAATTTGAACAGTGAATCCTCTAAAGTGGAACACCTCTGGAAGTGGAACATTTTTCAGAGTCCCAACAACAAATGACTTAATGTTAAATGAACCTCTGTAAGTGAAACACCTCTGGAAGTAGAACACTTTTCAGAGTCCCAACAACAAATGACTTAATGCTAAATGAACCTCTAGAAGCGGAACACCTCTGTTAGTGGAACACTTTTCAGAGGCCCAAAACCAGTGCTATACATGTTAGACTTAATGCTAAATGAACCTCTGGAAGTGGAACACCTCTGGAAGTGGAACACTTTTCAGAGTCCCAACAACAAATGACTTAATGTTAAATGAACTTCTAGAAGTGGAACACCTCCAAAGTGGAATACTTCAGAGGTGCCAAAGGTGTTCCACTTTGACAACTTTTACTGTTGAAGCATCAATATTCAAGGTTGATCTACATGCACTGAGGCATTTTTGTTTATTTGCAGTTGTTTTGTGGTCTCTGCTGAGAATGCCTCACCTTCAACATACAAAAAGCAAGACTTAAACATTTCTACTAAGAACTGATTGTAAAATGGCTACTGCATTCAAAGATGACAGGGAAAAGGCGGAGCATCAAAGAAAGATGAACAAATATCATGGTGTTAAAAACTTTTCCGAAAAGACAATAAGAAAAATTGAAAATATGAAACAGGATGAAACTTTAACTGATTATACTATTGTTGTCGAAGGTGAAGAATTCAAGGTTCATAAATTGATGTTAGTATGCTACAGTGATTATTTCCAAGCCATGTTGACAAGAGTTGGCATGAAAGAAAGTCAAGAGGATTCTGTGATTCTACAGGATGAGACAATCACCAAAGCTGGCTTTGACGTTTTCCTTGATTTAGCATATAGTGGGAGGGTGTTGATAAAAGGAGCGATATTACGTGATACTGTGGCCTGCATGTCACATCTTCAAGTTCAGGAGGGACTTACGATTTGTGAAGATTTTATTAAAAATAATCTCTCAACGTGGAATTTTCTCGAATTCCTCAATATAGCAGAAGACTATGTCCTTGAAAAATCGATAGCATTTTGCTATGAGTTTATCCTTCCACACTTTGTTTGGTATTTCGAGAATATTCCAGATCATGCCACTCAACTGACTGTAAAACAGTTTGAGAATATTATCCCCAAGGATGGAGTAATTAATGAATCAGAGAAGAAGGTATTTGATGTTGTGTGTCAGTGGTTGGAACACGATGAGGAAAATCGATTGCAGTATGTGCCCCTGTTGATGCAACATGTTCGTTTCTCTATAATGAACCCAAATGATTTGGATTTGGTCAAGAAAGTTGAATATGTGAAGAATGACCCAGATTGTAAAGCATTTCTGAAAGAGGCTTTAGATTACCAGTCAGCCCCTCTTCCTCGCCAGCTTGCCATGCAAAATTCACGTACTGAGGTACGCAGTAACCCTTCCTTATTCATGCTCACAGAGAAACAGGATGGGGCACCATACAACAAGGCATATAGCCTCAAGTTCAGATTCACGAGCGGACATCTAATGGGGACTAAATATCGTGAACTTGCTTACTGTCTGAAGGAGACTGTCCTACCATCGATTGCTGTTTGCAGAGGCTTCATTTTCGTTTGTGGTGGTTTCCAAAAAGCAAACAAAGCGGCGGTGTCTGATTGCTGCTTCTATGACCCACGCTTTAACCGCTGGTGTGAACTTCCAAAAATGCAAGACGCAAGAGCCGATTTTGCATTGGTTCCATACAAAGATGAGATGTTGATAGCTGTTGGTGGTACCAGGTTGAAAATTCACGTGCTTGGATTGGGTGACCTGATTACACAAAGTGTGGAGATCTTTATGCTTGATACACAACAGTGGAGTATGATCACTGCCCTTCCCGACCGTATCCCTGTCAAGAATGGTATTCCAATGAATGAGAAAAACATGATATATGTAATCTCTACAAAATACAACGAAAACGGCCACTTTAACCTGCTTTTGGGATTAAAAATCAACGATGATGGCTCATTCCAGTGGGAGACCCTCGAAGAATGGACTACTAGATATGGCCATAGACGACCAATGTTAGGGAAATGTGCAGACAAGGTATACCTGGTTGATAAAACGGGATCAAATTCGTTATACTATGAGGAGGCGTTCGTACAACCAAAACAATATGACCGTAAAAACTGGAACATTGGCTTTGACACCCATGTCACATGTATTGGCGATTTCAAAGCCATTTGTATGGAGAATGATAGATTATATGCAATAGTGGAAGATAAGAGAGGAGATGCATATCTCACAAAGGAGGAAATTCAAAACTCAACTCTAAAATTTGAGGAGTTCTTTCAGTTCTGTGACTTCCCTCCAGGTATTGAACGTGAAAATGATAAAATGCAAATGGTTTTGGCTAAAATCCCATGTTGTTTCCTGCCCCAGGGGTAAATGTAAAAAATATACATTCTGTGCTTAGCATCAGATAAATCGAATAAATATTGCTATCCCACCCTAAGTGCTTTATATTATTGTATAATAGCATTGTAGAACTGCAATATAAAACCAACACTCATCGTATACAACTCTTGAGAACGATATACAACTCCTGGATAGCGTATACAAGTACAACTCTTCGACTTGATATACAACTGCTGAATTTAGATTAACCTTTTATTGATTAAAGATTAGGGTGGGATACTAACATCATATAATGGTTGATTCTGTAAATCGTTATACTCTCGTGAGTATATGATATTTTCACTTGTTCCCTTCAGTCACTCGTGAATATATCATATACTCACTTGAGTATAAACACGATATACAGAATCAACCATTATATAACCTCATAATATCCCAATAAAGGATAAAAATCAGACATTTTGACGAGTGGAAGTACATGGTACATGAAGTCAGCTTTCGTCTTTAATGTCGAATGTCAAATTGGAACTTTATAAACAGTAGCAACAGCATTTTTATTATGGTACATACATTCCTGGAATAAAACATTATTACATAATTGACAACAATCTTAAAGCTTGAGTCCAAGGAATGTCTCCAATTTAAGTGGTTGCAAAGAATAGAAATGTAGAATGGATGAAACAATATGTACATACACATCTTTTCAAAAACACATATCATTGTTTTTCTTCCAGTTGAAATGTTCTGACATGCGCAAAGCTCTATTTAGTGATATTTTCATTTTTTCAAATATGGCGGCCAATCCGATGTCTGACTACCCTTACAAAGAATCTAGGCAGTGTGCATTTTTACCTCCTGTGAAATAACAAGTGGAATTTAGTAGTTGTTTTGTGTTTTATTATCATTCTGCATCGTAATTCTATGTGATATGGTGTTAAAATGTCAGCAGAAATAAATATCCATACGATAATCGAGTGAATTAGATAACAGATTTTTCGAAAACCTGTCTCCTGCTAAATGTGTAAAAACTTGTATTAACATGCACAAAAGTGCCATTGTGCACAGCAATGTCAAGCTAAATCAATGTTGTGTCTAAAACAGGTACCTGATCTACTCAAAACAGCTTGTCATTCACGTATACACGCTTAGCAAACACGGCCAAATGATCCGAATCTTGGAATTTCGTTCGAGAGCTAGTAATGTTTGCTCCGGTCTTCGTCATAAGTGTTTATCAGACTTCAGGCATGCTCAGGAGAAAACCATCAACCAATAACGTTTGTAAATCAATTTCACGCATGCGCCTTACAAGGGTAAAGAAATTTGTATTAATCAACGAACCAATTTGAGATAACCCGATATCAGTCGAAGAAATCTGCCTATTCTACTATGCTGGGATCTAAGATTTTCAGTATAGATAAAGTCTTTTATGATCTTTCGAATGAGGTAAGTCTCTAGTTCGAAAGACAATCGTATCAACTTGAACAAAAGTTGAGTTTTTAAGAAAATTTTTAGAAAAATTGGAAAAGTGGATTCTCCTTTTTTAAAATTATGCCAGATAATCATTAGATAAAATCAGCACTGACTTTTTTGAAAAATATGCATGGCAGCAAAATACATATATACACTGTATGCTTGTATATTGTGACAATTTTTAGGAACGATACTCTCAACTCATGTCAAATAATCCTTTGTTTATTTACATCGGGCAATTTCCATATTTTTGTTGCTGTGCATGGGACTGTTGTAACAAATAATATCTTGGCAACTACATGTATTTGACTTTGGTGCTAATAGTGAAGTTTGCAATATTTAGAAAGAGCCATTATTTTTCTTTAAGTCATCAATCAAGAAGAGATAGATCTTGCATCAGACTACTCTTGTGTTACCCAATTCTACATCTTAAATGTGGAATTAGACATACATTCTGCAGTATTTTTATTGCCAATTGTTTCTGCTGAGAGAATGAGCAGCTTGTTTTTATTAATTTTTTGCTTTTATATGGTAGTCACATTTATATCGCTTTATTTTGCAATCAGCAGGTTTAGTGTAGCTTTTTATATATGAATGTTACATGTTAAATGTCTGTGAATATTTATATATTGTATAAGAGGGGGTAGTCTTGCATCAAGCCTACAGTTGTATGTGTACAAAGGATGGGTAAATATATAGATCTAGAGACTTGATGTAAGACAAGATAACATATTTTATTATAACATGTAATGTAAATAAGGAATGGTATCCAAATATCATCAGTTGTGGAATGATGAGGTACATTTTAAAACACAATTTCATTAAGTTAAGAATGTTAATTTTTAAAAAAAGTGGAAAGGGGAAAATTAGGCATGATTTCATTTTCCATAACTGGTGACATTTGGACACCATCCCTGACATATTCATGCATTCTGATTGGTTCATACATAGCTGCATATTACTTTATATCAATCTATAGTGAGTATTACTATTGCACACATCTATTTGCAACCTATATGGTTCATCATATGTTATAATTTATCATTTTTCATGAATAATCAGTGATAAAAAACTTGTTTGATATCACACCCAATGATCATAGAGGTTTTTGGATTTACTTCTTTAATTTTATCAAATGAATATGTAATGTTCATTTATTAGATGTTTATATCAAGATGATATGGCTTTGGCCACAAGCAATGACTGCAAAATAAGTGTTAAATTATATAAATATCAGTGGCGTAGGAACAATGTACGCCAAAACGCCAGTGCGTAGTGTTGAAAAGTGAGAATAAAAAAGACTTTTTAACTTTCCTATGTTCTTTAGTCATATTTTCTCATTGTTTAAATTGTAAAAGTAATCTCGAGCACACTAGCCTAAAGAAATGTTTTGTGGATACCATATCATTATTGGTCTGTCTGGCAAATATCATTTAACAGATTGAATTCCCTTACCAACATGCTTTATTTCATGAAAATCGAGCCACTATTGACTGTCTTATAAATACAATTTCGCCAAATATTCGTGAATCGCGATAACCTAGTTTTTTTTCATTTGACAAATAATAGATTCTTGTTTTATAACATTTTTTGGCATCCCCTAAGTCACGTTGACCTCGATTTGACCTTTGTGGTGGGTGTATTTATTTGTTTCATTGATCACGAATGCGTTTCTTTATATCAATTGATCAAACTAGTTTCTTTAATCTGTACGTATTGTATCGCACGGTACACGATGGAATCCGACAATACTATATATCTTCAGATCTTAATTCAATTATTCGAAAATGATTAAAAAATCTCTAATTGTTTTTTGGAAATTGGTCGTCTCAATCGTTCGAGATATTAGCAAAGTGAGAATGATTTGTGTCGAGATTTAAAAGATAGGCTTTCCAAGGTGATTTTAAATGATGAAAATCATTCGAACATTTTAAAGCACATTAAAAAGGTATCGGGGATTTAAAGCTTGCATATGAAATCGAAACGCCAACCTATACGTATGACCAATCGCCCATACAAATGCATCGCTTAAGTATTTCCGTTCACATTTAGGTTGTGAACATTGCAAGCTTGAAATCTCTGTTACCATAAAATGACGTTTTACGAGCATAATATAGGCGTTTTGATATAGAATATTGACACAATTGTTTCATATTTTTTTGGCGGGATTTTTGGCGTAGTGTTGAATTTACACCTTCCTACGCCCCTGAATATAGCAAATTGTTATGCTTTGTCAAAAGGCATATTTCATAATATTATATGGCCTTGCTTTTTCCATCACGCTGCGCTTGTTTGATAAGAAACCAATGTAATAATTTATAAATATATTATTGTGAAAAGCTACTTAAGTTTTATCTTTAAATATTTAAATCATTTACTTTCATCATTTTTTTTTTACTTTTTGAGGTGGGTTGATTGGAAACAAGTCTAAACGTTTACCAAATAGACCACCTTAAGTTTAAATGACTCTTACTAGATCCACCTTAAGTTCAAACTTATCCATGAGGCCCACCTGAAGTTCAAACTTGTCCCACTAGATCCATCTTAAGTTCAAACTTGTCCTACTAGACCCAGCTTAAGTTCATATTGTCCCACCAGACCCACCTTACGTCCAAACATGTCCTACTAGATCCACCTTAAGTTCAAACGTGTCATACTAGACCTACCTTAAGTTCATATTGTTCCACCAGACCCACCTTTAGTTCGAATGTCGGAACGTGTCTAACTAGACCCACACAAAGTTCAAACTTGTCCTACTAGACTCACCTTAAGTTCAAACTTGTCCAACTAGACCCATCTTAAGTCAAAACTGTCCTACAAGACCCACCTTTAGTTCAAATGTGTCTAACTACACCCACCTTAAGTTCCAACGTGTCATACTAGACCCACCTTAAGTTCAAACTTTCCTACCAGATCTACCTTAAGTTCAAATTGTCCTTCTTGACCCATCTTAAGTTCAAACTTTTCCTACTAGACCTACCTTAAGTTCAAACTTTCCTACCAGATCTACCTTAAGTTCAAACTTGTCCTTCTTGACCCGTCTTAAGTTCAAACTTATCATACTAGACCCACCTTAAGTTCAAACTTGTCCTACTATACCCACCTTAAGTTCAGACTTTTCCAACTAGACCCACTTTAAGTTCAAAATTGTCCTACTAGACCCACACAAAGTTCAAACTTGTACTACAAAATCCACCTTTAATTCAAATGTGTCTACCTACACCCACCTTAAGTTCAAAATTGTCGTACGAGACCAACCTTAAGTTCAAACTTGTCCTACTAGACCCAGCTTAAGTTCATATTGTCCCACCAGACCCACCTTAAGTCCAAACGTGTCCTACTAGATCCACCTTAAGTTCAAACATGTCATACTAGACCTACCTTAAGTTCATATTGTTCCACCAGACCCACCTTTAGTTAGAACGTCGGAACGTGTCCAACTAGACCCACACAAAGTTCAAACTTGTCCTACTAGACCTGTCTTAAGTTCAAACTTGTCCTTCAAGATCTACTTTAAGTTCAAACTCGTCCTACTAGACTCACCTTAAGTTCAAACTTGTCCAACTAGACCCATCTTAAGTCAAAACTGTCCTACAAGACCCACCTTTAGTTCAAATGTGTCTAACTACACCCACCTTAAGTTCAAACTTGTCATACTAGACCCACCTTAAGTTCAAACTTTCCTACCAGATCTACCTTAAGTTCAAATTGTCCTTCTTGACCCATCTTAAGTTCAAACTTTTCCTACTAGACCTACCTTAAGTTCAAACTTTCCTACCAGATCTACCTTAAGTTCAAACTTGTCCTTCTTGACCCATCTTAAGTTCAAACTTTTCCAACTTGACCTACCTTAAGTTCAAACTTATCATACTAGACCCACCTTAAGTTCAAACATGTCCAAATACAATTGTACCTAAAGTTATAGCTTGTCCCACCTAATGCCTGGGTCACATTTGCTCCGATTGAGTATTTTGTTCAAAATTGTATTCGGTTGAATGTTTTGTTCAAAATTCTATTTGTTTTTGAACAAAAAACTCAATCGGCCAGGCACTGGCAGATGAATCCGAGCAAATGTGACTCGGGCATTACACAACATTTGAATTAATACACTGGTGGAGTATTTTATTATGTTACTACAGCTTACCATTTCTATTGAATGTGCCAAAAATAGCATTGAGCTAATTCCAATTCTGCAATATTCTCTATCCTGGAGTGGTCAGAAGTGACGCATGTAATGGCAAATGGTCAGGTTGAAAATTAAAAATTCAACCATCATTTTTACGTCACTGCCAATAGGTTGTGAGTGCTATCAGTTATATGATTCAGCATCTGTAACAACAATGTTACCAATAATCTCACACTCAAAAGTTACCCATGAAAATCCCTTGGGATTACCATTCATAGCAGATGTTGTTGAATACCTATTTTGCATCATAAGGGAGAAATAATATGTTTGTGAAAGATTGTGTCAAAATATTTTATGTCCTCTATCTTTTGCTGCCACTTTAATGTCAGCCAAGTATTGTAAGAAATCATGCTTGTAAATTAACCTCTGTGCAATATTGACGGGAACTAGGACCTTGATATAACCTGACTTTTCTTGTATAATTCCAGTTTGCCTGACATGTACAACAGGAGAACACGCTGATTTAACTGACAACCAACTAGCTTCCAAACATGTCTTTAATCCCAGCTATGCATGAACATTGCTTCAAATTTACAAGACTCTTCTCACATCTAAGATCCTTTAACAGGCAGAACTCAATACATACAAATCAAAAAGGGTTCCCAAAGAGGACAAAGGACCCTCTCCAAGCCGGTGTGACAGAAGTGATAGATGTTAGAACGCCTGCTGAATTCAAAGAGGACCACATACCAGGTGCTATTAACCTCCCAGTCTTAGATGACAAACAGAGAGTTAAAGTTGGGACACTCTATTCAAAATCACCATTCGAAGGGCGAAAAATCGGTGGTGGATTAGTTACTGCCAAAATTGGTGAACACATCGAGAATTACTTCCAGCATAAACCAATAGATTATACCCCATTAATATACTGTTGGAGGGCAGGTCAAAGGTCAATGAGTATGGCGATGGTGTTAAGTCAAATTGGATTTGACGTCTATCAATTAGAGGGTGGATATAAACACTACAGGCAGACAGTTCGAGAAAATATTGAAACAGTAGCTCCATTGATGAACTACAAAATGATCAGTGGTCTCACAGGGTCAGGGAAAACAATGATTCTCAAGAAACTAGGTGAACACAATCAGCAAGTGATAGACCTCGAAGAACTTGCAAAGCATAAAGGTTCAATCCTGGGTATTGACGCGGACACCACACAACCTAAACAAAAATATATGGAATCACTGCTGAGTTTAGAACTATCAAAATTCAACTCTGAGAAACCTGTCTGGCTAGAATCGGAAAGCAGGAATATTGGGTCCATTACAATCCCAAATGCTCTGTTCAGTAAAATGAAAACATGTAAACGTTACGTATTGAATACTCCAATGGAAGAGAGGGTTAAACACCTGTTGACAGAATACCCCTATTGGATTAAGTACCCCGATAGATTAAAGCATATCTTGACGATACTTGAAAAATATTGTGGTAAGCGCCTGGTTGAATACTGGAGAGATTTGATTGATCAAAGAAAGGGGGAGGAGTTTTTAGAATCAATACTTGTCAATCATTATGATACAACATACTACAGTTCTCAAAAGAAAAATTGTGCTCAAAGAGTTGAGGTAGTCAACATTGATGTGCCGAACTTGTCTGAGGAAACTATATATAATGTCATTATACCACAGTTACTTGAGTAATGTTACCCTGACTGAAAAGGTTCTACAAACAACTGATGGAGTCGGGAAAATTCCAACACTTATTCATTCATGGATCCCTTTTGAAATCCTCTTCCCATAAACTATTGAATGGAGGGGTTACCAGAGACTTGATGCGAGCCAAAATGTTCATAAAATGTTAGTCTTGCTTCAAGACCGTGGACTCCCCTTATTTACTTTTCCAACACAACACAACACACAAGGGGTTCCAGGGTCTTGAAGCAAGACTAATAAAATGTTATACAATAGCCTTAGGCCTATAATTATTCAGGTCCGTAGCCAGGGGAGGAGGTTCGATGGGTTTGAGCGAACTCCCCTGGCCAAAAAATCTTTCAAAATCATGCAGTTTTTTATCATTCTGAGCACTTTTAAGTGATTTTGGCCATTTTTGGACTAAAATTTTCACAAGTGAACCCCCCTGGAATTTTTCAAAAAGTGAACCCCCCTTGGCAAATCCTGGCTACGGGCCTGGTTATTACACATTTTCAGATTTTCAACATCTCCAATTGAAACATAATGAGTTCTGATTTCTTTCACCATTTCTTCCAGAATGTTGGCAAAGATAATCATTATAGCATTCATCATTGTAAACTACAGGATGTAAAAGTGCTGCATTTAGTAAAACAAACAGAATAAATTGCATGGTGTTATAGATAACAATGTTGTGTTTATTGTTAAGCATTAACAAATGTAAGATTGTACATTTCATGTTTTGAGCAGATTGCCACCAATCAAGGACATGTAGAATTATGTATCAAATATACTCAATTCCAAACATTTCTTACATATTTATGTAACATCCTTGATATACATCGTAATTTAATAAAACCTTTAATAAGGAAGTTGGGCCCTAATAGTCCTTACTATATCAGGTACAGTTCATCAAAGAAATACAAGAAAGTTGTCAGATCTGAGTTAAATAGAAATATGGTTTTCCATTTGGAAGTAGGCATTTTCATGTTTTATCATGTTTTATTGTAAGCAGAACATGTTAAGTACAGTACGTGTACTTTTAAATCAATTCTAATTGTATTCATTTGATCACTTAACGTGGCTCAAACTTTAATTAATTCCTCAACAAAATTAAATCACAGCATCTTGTGATTTACACTATTGACAATGATCCACTGGGATATGAACATATTTTCTGAAACATTTAAGAGCTATATAACATTGGATATTCCATATTTTCTGAACCATCTAAGAGCTATATAACATTGGATATTCCATATTTTCTGAAACATCTAAGAGCTATATAACATTGGATATTCCATATTTTCTGAAACATCTAAGAGCTATATAACATTGGATATTCCATATTTTCTGAAACATCTAAGAGCTATATAACATTGGATATGAACCATATTTTCTGGAACATCTAAGAGCTATATAACATTGGATATTCCATATTTTCTAAAACATCTAAGAGCTATATAACATTGGATATGAACCATATTTTCTGAAACATCTAAGAGCTATATAACATTGGATATTCCATATTTTCTGAAACATCTAAGAGCTATATAATATTGGATATTCCATAATCTAAGGTGGCTGCATCTCATGCATCACATTCAGGTGAGGAGTTTTGCAATTTAATAACATCTTTCGGTCTTTTGATGGTGCAAATTACAGAATGATTTTAAGGAGAGTTCAATGTGGAGCCACGTTTATATTGAAAGAACATACTGATTGATCTTAAAATGAAGTCATAGAAACACATGGCACATGTACACACATGTAAGATCTCTATATGTCTCCAAATAAGCCATGTACATGTATATGTAAAACAGTCTCGTAACAGTCATTCAAAACACAACAGTCCGCATCAGTTTCATTATAATATATTAGATTTACAATAACATGAGGTTTTGATTTGATATAACTCCTTTGGAACCATGATTTGTCCTTCAATGAGCAATAAGACTTCATGGCATGTTTATACATCGTTAAAGTTTCAACGTTTGCAGTCTATGGGTCAATGCATGCATTCACTGTTCACAAATGTCACTGCTTGCATCTAGAGTTCATATGTGTCAAGGTTTGCACTCATTGTCCACATGTATCGTAGCTCAAATACATGTTCACATGTGTCAATGCTTGCATTTGCTGTTCACATGTGTCATAGATTGCATTCTGTGTTTACAAGTGTCAATGCCTGCATCCATTTTCACATGTGTCAATGCTTGCATCTAGTGTTCACATGTGTCAATGCAAGTGTATCAGCTGCCATCTTTACTATCAAGTATCATAACTTGTGTCAAATGATCCTACGTGTGTCCTGGCATGTGTCAAGTGAATTCACACAAGTGTCCGCAGCCAGTAGGACAGTTACGGCTACGAGAGAACCAGTCCTTAATATGTTGTATATGCCCACCATGTGAACAGCCTTGGCACCAAACATACAGTCCTTTCACCACTAGATGACTGCAAATAAATTATTAAATTGAAATTATTATACATGTACATTACATGAAGTAATTTAGCTTCAAATTAACAAGTACATTTATTCACCTGTGTTACATTCAGTGATGACAAATTGAATAAATAATAGATTGACAACAGTTTTGATCAGTAAAACAACCTACCATATACTGCATGTATTTGTAATCTTTTTACATCTATCACAGACCCAACCAGACCTTAGTAGTGACTTTGAGCAATTGTTGCAGTTGGTATGTATTGTAGTTGACTCCTGATTGAGGACACTCACTGATGCATGGTTACTCAGCTTGATCACTTCATTGGCTACAGTGTAAAGCTTGAACCTAGACAGCAGTTCTGGAAATGTATGAGATGGAAGGAAAGGATATATTGGTTGGGCATTAGCTGGACGTGAAAAATGATTAGGGTCTGAATAATATTTCTTCATGTATGTGCTATTAATACACCATTTACAACTTTTTTCTCAACACACATGGGTTTTATCTTTTATTATGAAGAGCTGAAGATCTCAAAGTGAAAATATTAGTTTACTTGCTAAATGTAAAATAACTAACTATGAAATGTGTTTAATTGGTACATGGCCATGATTGGTAGGAATGAAAATAAAAATACAAAATAATTACCAATATAAGAAATAAACCAATGCTCCTGCGTTAGTTCATCAATGTGGTCACGGATCTTGTCGCCAAGGACAACCAGCAATGACACAGACATCTGAACATCACTCTGTAAATATAATTCTCAATTATGTCATAAAGGAATTTTCCTTGTCTAATTATTTATGTACACTTTTTGATTTCATTATTAGTTATAGTCTCCAACTTTTTTAAGGATGGTGTTCAGAGTTTGGTGTATGGAGGTGTTGACATTTTGCATGTTAACGCATTTTCTTTGTTAACTACATGTAAATGCATTTGCATCTAGTTCTAATTGAAATCTTTTAGTATCATTATTCGGGAAGCAATAATTAACCTAAGTTGAAGAAATGACTCAAACCTTACTTAATTTTATATATAATGAAAGCTGAACACTTATTGCTCAATAATAACTTATCAAGTCACTTATGAAGACCGTCAAAATACAGTGTATAACTGGCATATTATCTATAATATAGTCAAAACAAATTTTTTTTTTTAGAAATTACTAAAACATATTTGGAATTTGATCATCTTTATTGATAACTATATTAGTATAAGTTATATGTCAGATTAGTTTGTGATATAATACAACGATTCAAACTAATGAAGTTTGTGCCGCGATTATCTTTACCATACCATACCTGTTCAGCGTAATAATGCAATATCTTTTTTACATTGTCCACAAACTTCCATGAATGAAGAGTGCTAATAAAAGGTGGCGCTTGGAGTATTTTCTGGTTATTTCCAAATTCTTGGATTTCCATTTGTTGCGTATTGCTATCAGAGTCATTATTGCCACTAGATGGCTCTTCTGTATGTTGGAGATGATCGGGGGATGATGTGCGATCAATAATTTCATGACGTGGCTGGAAAGCCTCATTTGGAAGTTTACTCCATTCCTGTAAAGTGTGAAAATTAAATATTGAAGAAATGTTTGCGCAACAATAAACTCATACTTCTACAACATAAGTAGCTTCTATAATACATGTATTACACATATTGCAATGATTTTCGAAGAAATCATATACTATAAATACATATGCACTGCACTATCAAAATAATAAATGGTAAATTTCTACATTGTTCATCCTTTAAGTAATTGTTAATACCATTTTATATACCTACATGTAACATAATATAAGTGCTATCTTATATATGTCTAGATGTCATTTTAAAAATTTCTCTTAAACAGCAACATATACCTGTATACCAACTAGGGTGTCTAGCGGCTTGTTTTTATAGTGTATATTATATAAGAATTATGAAATAAATAAATTGAATTGAATTGAATGTATCCCTAACCCATTTTGATGATGTTATTCAAAAGTGTCTGCGAATGTACATGTAGTTAATATTCATAAATGATAAAACATAACTTAGAAATACAGTATGGTGTAGCAAAGTGATCTGCACATAATTAGTAGGGTGATAGGAGGTTTAACAACAAGCAGAGGGTGACTCACTTGAAATGAGTTGAAAAAGTCAAATTAGTTTTATACATTAGTCTGCTGCTATTATATAGCCAGGTCTTATAAATAGGCAAGGGAAAAAGCTAAATGGATATTTAACTAGACTTCATTTCACAATTTCAGTTTAAAAGATATCTGAATAAAACAATTAGTAACACTTAAGTGAGGCAGTTGCCTTACCTGCCTCATGCCTTGCTTTATTCCTAGGCCATATTTAAAATAACAAATATTTTGCCTGACTTTATGTGTTCAAAAACATGGTGGTGTGTTCCTTGGACATGGTGGTGTATTCTTGGAACATGGTGGCGTGTTCTTGGAACATTGTGATTTGTTCTTGGAACATGGTGGTGTGTTCCTTGAACATGGTGATGTATTCAAAAACATGGTGGTGTGTTCATGGAACATGGTGGTGTGTTCCTTGAACATGGTGATGTATTCAAAAACATGATGGTGTGTTCATGGAACATGGTGGTGTGTTCCTTGAACATGGTGGTGTGTTCCTTGAACATGGTGATGTATTAAAAAACATGGTGGTGTGTTCATGGAACATGGTGGTGTGTTCCTTGAACATGGTGATGTATTCAAAAACATGGTGGTGTGTTCATGGAACATGGTGGTGTGTTCCTTGAACATGGTGATGTATTCAAAAACATGGTGGTGTATTCATGGAACATAATGGTGTGTTCCTTGAACATGGTGATGTATTCAAAAACATGGTGGTGTATTCATGGAACATAATGGTGTGTTCCTTGAACATGGTGATGGGTTCATAGACACCCAACAATAAAGAACAGAACACAAGAGGCATTTAGAGGTGAATTGCCAAAAAAACATTATGTATTAGTATTTTTTAGTAAATTCTGCTTCAAGTGTCATGACTTCCTAGCATTTGAAACTTATGTTTGCCTCGTGGCAATAGTTTTTGAATCTTGGCAATGAAAAACAAGGCATTAACATGACAAAATGTCACCACCTAAAGGTCAATTTGAAGCAAGTTGAAAACAGACCTTTTTGACCTTTTTTGACCTTGAGAAGGTCATTAAAGGTGAAATGTCAAATCTAGAGTCAGATTTGAATTTCTGAGAACATGTAGATGATTTTGAAAAAAAAAATTAGTCAATTTGAAGCAAGTTGAAAAAAGACCTTTTTGACCTTGAGAAGGTCATTGAAGGTCAAATGTCAAATCTAAAGTCAGATTTGAACTTCTGAGAACATGTAGATGATTTAGAAAAAAATTGAAGTCAGTCTAAACAGTATTTGTAAAGTTATAGGAAGTTGTAAGAAATTGTTACAGACGCCGGACGCCGGACGCCAACCTCCAACCACCAACCGCCGTCACAAAAAAACGGAGACCATAACAATATGTCACCACTTTTGGTGGTGACATAATAAATAAAGTTAAACATGTGCATTCAAACATCTCTCTAATCTGAAGACTCTATAATGTGAACATTTGTACTCCAATTTTTTAATCTGCCAAAATTTTCATGTTTAAAAACCTTTGAAATGTGAACACCTTTGAAATGTGAACATCTGCCTAAATGAAAACTAGCCTACTGGTTGACCGTTGTTCCCGTGGCATTCTGATAAGACAGGCTTTATTGTATTTCTACTGTTTCAGTATTGGAAATGAGAAATACTGGTTTCCAATTATGCAAATGACTGATTACAGCCCATTAAATTGTGTATTCAAATCTATGTAGAAGCCTCTCACTTATTTCTGTTGAGTTCTTTCTTCATGCAAATGGAAATACACAAAGTAGAGGGAAATCTATTTTTTATTTATATGTGATAATAAAACAGTAAGATAAATAAAAGCCACCAAAACCAAGCACTTATGTTATCCAATATTATTTAATGTGGATGTGAAATTGTGAATAAACAATCAAAAAAAATGTTGAGAAAATTACAGCTTCTATAAAATTAGTTAAAACCACATATAATCAAAAGTTAATCAGTTCAGGTTATGATTCTCTTCCAAAATGTGAAATCTAGTACACTCTAAACAGGTTCAGTAATTTGACAAAAATTCATAAAACATGTCAGTCAAATCCAAAGTCCCAAAAACAAGAAAATTGCCCAACTGTTATCCCAAACTTCAACTAGAATGTTTGTAGTTGTATCAGTAGTTCAAGAATGATTTGTAATAAGAAAAGTTCTTTAGCTACTAATACTACTACAGTAGAACCTGTAAAGTGGAACAGATCTGAAAATAAATCAAACAAGTTACCCATACCAAAAATGAACGGAACTTTGTGGAACTCCTGACAAGTGGAACATTGTTTTGAAGTGCCAAAAGTGTTTCGCTTACACAGGTTTTATTGTACAATAATGGGCATGACTTGGAATGGTATGTTCAATGTAAGCCTTTTAGTGGGACTATGCATTGGACTGACATGGACTATGTTAAACACATTCTTCCTTGTAAAACACAGTGACTACATACCCTTAGCTCCCAACTTGGCACAGGTGAAGAAGCAACATGGATCTGTATGTCACAATTAACTCATTTCAAATAGTGAAAAATATGATTTTTATGCGATGCTTATGTTTATAGCTATTATAAAAGTTTTTATAAAACTCAAAATAAAATAACTAGAAAAACAGCAACTCCACGGAGTAGCAAATCCCACCGAACAAAACAAATTTTGATTATTAGTGGCCATCTTGAAAATTCCTTCTTGTGCAGATCTCTGTTGTCCCTAGGCATCAACATATAAAATGTGAACCATATCCATCAATAAGCATTAAGTTATCAAAGATTACATTCTTTTACGAAAAATGGCAACCATTTTGAAATTCAGCTGCCATTTTGAAAATTCTTCCTCAAACAGAGCTACTGTGTCCCAAGGCATTATCATATAAAAGGACGATTCTCAGTTTGGAGAACGAAGTTCATCAATCTAAATGAGCATTATCCCTGCTTCGTACAAATTTGATTTTTTTATATAATATAGATTTGAATGTCTTCTTTTGAATAATTTAATTTGGGTGATATTTCTAGATTTTTCGCAAAAAAATATTAGCACAGTACACTAATGAACTTCTTTCCCCAAATCGAGACTTGTATTTTATTGAATCGGTCTAATTGAGCGTTATCCCTGCTTCAGACCAATTTGTTATTTTTACATCTTGTAGATTTAAATGTCCTCTTTTGAATATTCATAGTTTAATTTGGGCAATATTTCTATATTTTTCATGAAAAAAATTATTAGCACAGGAGACTGTTCTCCAAACCGAGAATCGTCCTTTAAAACAAATCCATTCACTGGTATTTGAGTTATCAAAATTTTATGTTTTATTATTTTTTTACTTTATTTATTTTTATTATCTTGTAAATTATTTCTTGAACAGAGCTACTGTGTCCCTGGGCATAATCATATAAAATTTGAACCAAATCTGTTCACTGGTATATGAGTTATCAAAGATTACGTTTTTTATGAAAAATTGCCGCCATTTTGAAATTAAGCAGCCATCTTGAAAATTCTTTGTCGAACATAGCTACTGTGTCCCTAAGCATCATCATATAAAATTTGAACCAAATCCGTTCACTGGTATTTGAGTTATCAAAGATTACGTATTTTTACGAAAAATGGTCGCCATTTTGAAATTAAGCAGCCATCTTGAAAATCTCTTTTTGTGCGAAACTCCTTTGTCCCTAGGCATCAGCATATAAAATTTGAACCAAATCCGTCAACTTGTATTTGAGTTATCAACGATTACATTTTTTACGAAAAATGGCGGCCATTATGAATTGAGTGGCCATATTGTAAATTCCTTCTCGAGCAGAGGTCCTACACTCATAAGGCATAAGCCTATAAAATTTGAACCAAATCCGTCAACCGGTATTGGAGTTATCACCCGGACACACGGACGGACGGAAGAACGGACTGACGGACGGCTTCTCTATATCCTCCTCGAACTTCGTTCGGTGGGATAATAAATACAGGTATCACCCTTGCTATACACAACACTGATAATGACTGGGAGGGTACAACAAAGTGCTCGGTGTGGTACAACAATTATTTTTAATTCAAATTACATATGACTAGCTTTATTACCATACTTTTTAAGTCAAATTTGAAACTGATGATATAATATCTTGGAATGTTTGGAAGCTCTCATGCTGTTGTACCCGACTAGACCATTATGTATAGCTGTATATGCCAAGGGCAAATGAAGGGTGGGTATAGACTTGTGAAAAAAATGAAAAAATAACTGATGGCCTGAACAGGAATGTGAAATGATTACACAGAGCAAATAAAACTATAATATAGGCATACTACTAATTGTAAAGACTTCTTAAAAACACAAACTTCAAATAATATATTTTATTGTTGAAGAATAGAAAAATTGATTCATATCAGCTGTTTTGAGCATTTTGCCTTTTTGTGAAGTTAGTGTTTGAAGGACATTTTACACAAATAAAGTAAATGGATGAGCCATGAAAATGAATCTTATTACATAGTTCTACCTTTATTGCTATTATAATTCATTTCATAAACTGCAACAACACTTAATGAAGTTTTAATCTGAAATACATTTTCTTTCAAAGAGCCAAAGAGGCAGGTTTTCACAAACAATTTCAGACAACTATATCTTGGATTATAAATATTTTCTGATCATGAAGACAGATGTACCTTTTAGATCCATTCATCATCTCCAAGGAAAGTATATATAACGACTAAGTTAATCAGAGTAATAAAGTGATCCAAGATATAATCATCCGAAACAGTTAGCAATAACATACATGGCCTTTCAACCATTTTTGATTAAATATCTTCAGAGATGAAGACACTTTCCTTTTGACATGGCTCAAACAATGATAGCTTATTAAATAATTACACAGAATTCATGCAAAACATATGACTACTTGAAAAGAGAAAAGATGATTTAAAAATTTGAAAAGATGACAAAACAATAGTTATAGTAACGGAGAAAAAGTAAAAAAAATCGTACACATCTATAATATGTATGTATTATATTTTTGTATATGCACTCCCCTTCAAATGTTTGACAACCTTGAATTCCCACTGGACTCATTACCATTCAAGTCAGTTTTTGGTTTAATTTAATTTTTTTATCAAACTACATAATATAAGGTCTGAAATTACGACAAATGGTGAAATCATCAAACATATAACAGGTTCTAACATGTTATCAAATAGAAATACTGGAGTTGCCAAACTTTTTTAGGGAAGTGTACATCTATAAAATAACTGGAAATAGTTTAAGAATGGAAATTTAATCTCAGATTAAAATTTTGTCTCACCCTGTTACTCTCAAGATTTGCAAGGGTCTCATCTTCAAAAGTTGTCTGGTCAACCTCTCCATCCCCAAAAAAGAAATCTCCATGCTGATTGGTCAATCCGCTGGCAATACTGGTGAGATTTTTTTCAGTTTCGGAATCATCAATATCAGATTCGTCACTTATACCTGTTGATGTGTCACCAGTTTGATGTTCAGGGACGGCATTTATGGTTTTGTTGTCTTGTAAGTGTGAACCATTGAGGGAGCCTTTACCTAGAAACAAAAGTACATAAGAGTATATTCAATGAATTTTGAATGAGGTCGGTGAAATGCTCTACCTTATTTTTTGATTTATTTTACTTGTATTACATCAAACTCAAGGGGCTTATACTTTTTCATTGATTATCACTTAATTTATCAATAGTATAATTGTTGTGGAAAGCCTAGGCTGTAGATAATATTAGATTTAATATTGGTGGCAATGTGGAACATTGTGGAAATTGTCAAGTTTATCAGATTTATGAATGACATTATTTAAAATTTAGAATCTATGATTGCTTCATTTTCTACATCTTACTTCTGTCATCTATTGATTTATGGGCATCATTGGCATTAGCCATCACAGAAGCAGTACGTGTCTGGGCTGGAGTGATGGGAACTTCAGCAAAGAATAACTTCACCATCTGCCAGGTCTGGGCTATCTGCAATATGAAATATGACACAGCTCTTATATGACAATACAACAAAAATACATGTAATCAATAGATTACTTAAATTAGATGTGAGTAGAAATAATCTTGAATTTCATCATTAAGTTACAGTGATATTATATTTGAAATCTACATACAAGAAGTAAATCTTGAGATGTGATTGTAAAACTTGTTTATCAGCTTTGTTTAAATTCACTTAAAATAATGTAAATTATTATTAAATTATTGTTTCCTTAGCGAATACACAAATCAACATTTGAAAATTAGATGAGGGGAGGGGGGTCAAACCATAACAAAATTAACTTTGTTTTTCCATGACTGGAGATAATTGCACATCATCCCTTATTCACTGTATATCTTCATTAAACTGGACCCTAAGCAAAGCAAGGTTACCTGATGCCTCTGTAGTGATTTAGCCACTGCAGTATTGTGATCACAGAGCTCTGACAGACTGCGACCACTTAGTTTATATTTCAATGCTGTTTCTATGAACCAATCCATCGAGAACTCCTGTAATTATATCCAAGGACAATACAATAGTCTGTGACATATATTCAGAATTGTTATTTATTGAAATATACAGGGCTATGAAATCTTTTTCAAATCATAGTTTCCCTACAATCTTCAGTCATATTTTCTCATTGCAAGTTAAAATAAATGAATAAAGTGAAACTACTGTAAACTTGGTTATATTACCGGGATTTCGAAAATGTTCCTTGTGGTGGTTTATAATAATAATAACAAGTTTGAAGTTGTACTTGGCAATGTGAGATATGATTCAAGGCAATTTCATCAACATTTCATCATCTTAAATTGTTATATAAAATGGTATCAATACAGATTCCAAATGTTGGTTACTAAAACTAGGGGCTATAACAAAAAGAATATTTTCCGTTGGCAGGTCATTGCTAGTAGTTGATTCTTTGCTAGTAGTTGAGTCTTAGCTAGTAGTTGATTCTTAGTTTAGTAGTAGATTCTTAGCTTAGTAGTAGATTCTTAGCTAGTAGTTGATTTCTTTGCTAGTATTAATTCATTCTTACCTGCTCACAGAGCTCATGTACAGATAAAGAACTGGACACCATGGTGAACTGGTCTGTTTTGTCTACAGTTTTCCTGACAAAGAATGATGGCAGGATTGTTGAGGTATAGCTGCTACCTGACTTATTACCTGGAAAAGAGTTACTGATGTGAATAAGTGATTGTTGAGGTATAGCTGCTACCTGACTTATTACCTGGAAAAGAGATACTGATGTGAATAAGTGATTGTTGAGGTATAGCTGCTACCTGACTTATTACCTGGAAAAGAGTTACTGATGTGAATAAGTGATTGTTGAGGTATAGCTGCTACCTGACTTATTACCTGGAAAAGAGATACTGATGTGAATAAGTGATTGTTGAGGTATAACTGCTACCTGACTTATTACCTGGAAAAGAGTTACTGATGTGAATAAGTGATTGTTGAGGTATAGCTGCTACCTGACTTATTACCTGGAAAAGAGTTACTGATGTGAATAAGTGATTGTTGAGGTATAGCTGCTACCTGACTTATTACCTGGAAAAGAGATACTGATGTGAATAAGTGATTGTTGAGGTATAACTGCTACCTGACTTATTACCTGGAAAAGAGATACTGATGTGAATAAGTGATTGTTGAGGTATAGCTGCTACCTGACTTATTACCTGGAAAAGAGTTACTGATGTGAATAAGTGATTGTTGAGGTATAGCTGCTACCTGACTTATTACCTGGAAAAGAGTTACTGATGTGAATACGTGATTGTTGAGGTATAACTGCTACCTGACTTATTACCTGGAAAAGAGTTACTGATGTGAATAAGTGATTGTTGAGGTATAACTACTACCTGACTTATTACCTGGAAAAGAATTACTGATGTGAATAAGTGATTGTTGAGGTATAACTGCTACCTGACTTATTACCTGGAAAAGAGTTACTGATGTGAATACGTGATTGTTGAGGTATAACTGCTACCTGACTTATTACCTGGAAAAGAGTTACTGATGTGAATAAGTGATTGTTGAGGTATAACTACTACCTGACTTATTACCTGGAAAAGAGTTACTGATGTGAATAAGTGATTGTTGAGGTATAACTGCTACCTGACTTATTACCTGGAAAAGAGTTACTGATGTGAATAAGTGATTGTTGAAGTATAGCTGCTACCTGACTTATTACCTGGAAAAAAGTTACTGATGTGAATAAGTGATTGTTGAGGTATAACTGCTACCTGACTTATTACCTGGAAAAGAGATACTGATGTGAATAAGTGATTGTTGAGGTATACCTGCTACCTGATTTATTACCTGGAAAAGAGATACTGATGTGAATAAGTGATTGTTGAGGTATAACAGCTACCTGACTTATTACCTGGAAAAGAGATACTGATGTGAATAAGTGATTGTTGAGGTATAACTGCTACCTGACTTATTACCTGGAAAAGAGTTACTGATGTGAATAAGTGATTGTTGAGGTATAGCTGCTACCTGACTTATTACCTGGAAAAGAGTTACTGATGTGAATAAGTGATTGTTGAGGTATAACAGCTACCTGACTTATTACCTGGAAAAGAGATACTGATGTGAATAAGTGATTGTTGAGGTATAACTGCTACCTGACTTATTACCTGGAAAAGAGATACTGATGTGAATAAGTGATTGTTGAGGTATAGCTGCTACCTGACTTATTACCTGGAAAAAAGTTACTGATGTGAATAAGTGATTGTTGAGGTATAACTGCTACCTGACTTATTACCTGGAAAAAAGTTACTGATGTGAATAAGTGATTGTTGAGGTATAACTGCTACCTGACTTATTACCTGGAAAAGAGATACTGATGTGAATAAGTGATTGTTGAGGTATAACTGCTACCTGACTTATTACCTGGAAAAAAGTTACTGATGTGAATAAGTGATTGTTGAGGTATACCTGCTACCTGATTTATTACCTGGAAAAGAGATACTGATGTGAATAAGTGATTGTTGAGGTATAGCTGCTACCTGACTTATTACCTGGAAAAGAGTTACTGATGTGAATAAGTGATTGTTGAGGTATAACAGCTACCTGACTTATTACCTGGAAAAAAGTTACTGATGTGAATAAGTGATTGTTGAGGTATACCTGCTACCTGATTTATTACCTGGAAAAGAGATACTGATGTGAATAAGTGATTGTTGAGGTATAGCTGCTACCTGACTTATTACCTGGAAAAGAGATACTGATGTGAATAAGTGATTGTTGAGGTATACCTGCTACCTGACTTATTACCTGGAAAAGAGATACTGATGTGAATAAGTGATTGTTGAGGTATAACTGCTACCTGACTTATTACCTGGAAAAAAGTTACTGATGTGAATAAGTGATTGTTGAGGTATACCTGCTACCTGATTTATTACCTGGAAAAGAGATACTGATGTGAATAAGTGATTGTTGAGGTATACCTGCTACCTGATTTATTACCTGGAAAAGAGATACTGATGTGAATAAGTGATTGTTGAGGTATAACAGCTACCTGACTTATTACCTGGAAAAGAGATACTGATGTGAATAAGTGATTGTTGAGGTATAACTGCTACCTGACTTATTACCTGTAAAAGAGTTACTGATGTGAATAAGTGATTGTTGAGGTATAGCTGCTACCTGACTTATTACCTGGAAAAGAGTTACTGATGTGAATAAGTGATTGTTGAGGTATAGCTGCTACCTGACTTATTACCTGGAAAAAAGTTACTGATGTGAATAAGTGATTGTTGAAGTATAGCTGCTACCTGACTTATTACCTGGAAAAAAGTTACTGATGTGAATAAGTGATTGTTGAGGTATAACTGCTACCTGACTTATTACCTGGAAAAGAGATACTGATGTGAATAAGTGATTGTTGAGGTATACCTGCTACCTGATTTATTACCTGGAAAAGAGATACTGATGTGAATAAGTGATTGTTGAGGTATAGCTGCTACCTGACTTATTACCTGGAAAAGAGATACTGATGTGAATAAGTGATTGTTGAGGTATAACTGCTACCTGACTTATTACCTGGAAAAAAGTTACTGATGTGAATAAGTGATTGTTGAGGTATACCTGCTACCTGATTTATTACCTGGAAAAGAGATACTGATGTGAATAAGTGATTGTTGAGGTATAACAGCTACCTGACTTATTACCTGGAAAAGAGATACTGATGTGAATAAGTGATTGTTGAGGTATACCTGCTACCTGATTTATTACCTGGAAAAGAGATACTGATGTGAATAAGTGATTGTTGAGGTATAGCTGCTACCTGACTTATTACCTGGAAAAGAGTTACTGATGTGAATAAGTGATTGTTGAGGTATAGCTGCTACCTGACTTATTACCTGGAAAAGAGATACTAATATGAATAGGTGATTACAGTAAAACCTGTATATCTAAACACCTCTCTAATCTGAACACCTCTCAATGTGAACACCCATTCTTGGTCCAAATGTTATCTCCCATGAATTAATATGTTAAGAAATCCTTTAAATGTGAACAACTGCTAATTTGAACACTTTTGACCTGGAACAGTGGCATTTAGATTAGACAGGTTTCGTTCCATTCTATTTTATTTAACAAAACAAATTATCAATATCAAAGGCATGATCAAGGAAAAATACTCAAGGGTACACGGGTTGAGGTCAATGTGTAATGACATCTGCTTGTTTATACATCAATAGTGTAGAATAAATCACCACACATTTATAGAAGGGAATCTTTTTTGACAAATCAATTCCACCTTTTATTGAAGTTTCAGGATCTTCTTTTGTGTTTTACAGGAGAAATTGACAGTTTAATTTACCTATTAACTTTATGATGATACTAGTTTGATTCTGAAAATTATAATTGAAACATTTTGGACTTAGACAAGGATTTATACTGGCTCATGTATCCTTTGGATAATTGACCCTCTTGATATCACAGATTGTAAACTTTTCAAAAGAATATTTGATCTTCAGGAAGACAATTTCAATAAACTTACCAAACTCCCCTAGTTTCTAAAAAATAGACTGATCCAATAGACTAGTTTGGAGCCAACACATTGTTTTATGGGAGTAATACATACCTGAGACTAGTTTATCACTGAATGCGTGCGAGACATCACCACGTATGTTGATGGACAACCCGACAGGATTGGCACTATTAGCTGGTCGGCTTGCATCTTTAAACATATGCTGCCAGAGGGTGCAGTCTTTACTGCTAGAGAGGAACACATGAGGGTCATTCTGTTTCCACACTATGCCTAAAACATAAATGTTTGTTTTTTAGTTACAGTAATTGGACAAGAGCTCGAAGTGGCAATTGTTTTTTTAGTTGGCAGGAGTAGCATTGTCTTTATGTAAGAAACAAAAACCAAAGGTGCCAGCCAGATCGTTTCGTAGTTGGTGTCTTATCTATTTAACTATTGTTGAGCTACTGAAACTACAACAAAACGATTTGGCCTGAATCTATGCTACAAGCATAGTGCCCAATATGACAATATACCCATGCTGAATGACTGAGTTTTTAACATCTGTTTGGGTTTTCTTTTTTGGCTCACCCTGAATTACTTTAAGAGTAAAAAATGTCAAGAAGAACAACTAAATGGAACACTTTGTAGATTCTCATGACCCGCGAACCTCTGAAAGTGGAACACCTACAAAGTACCAAAGGTATTCAACGTAAGCAGGTTTTATCGCATTTATTCATTTCCTTTAATTTTACAATTTTTTAATATCAAATGATTTACCTGCAATTAGATAAGATATTTGTTGATCATCATGTTTTTACAATAGAAAATACAAATATCACATGTATTTCCTGAAAAACAGGTTCACAACCACAAAAGTCAAAAAATGAAAAGAGCAAACTTTAAATGGCCAATGAATAATTTAAACACAAGTTAAATAAGAAACAAGTTTTTGAAAAAATGAAGGGCAATATAAGGTGGCACAATGTTAAAGTTCTTGAATTGTGATTCACCTATAGATATCCCGTTGGTTCCTTGAAGTAATTAAGTGTTTTCCTTCAATAAATGAGTATATTTCCAATGGTTATCAGAAAACAATTTTATACATATATAAACATTTGTGTTGTAATTGATTGCCTCTGTCCTAGATGATATTGTGAGTTAATCCTTTGTAATCCAATGAAATAGACCAATCAATTGTCAATGTCCTTATTATTAAAAAGCAAACAGTTGAAAACCCTCAGTCAAAATTAGCGCCATTGTTGTCTCCATTGATTCTACTAAAATTCTATAATTTTTTCTACTAGAAATAGAATGCAATTTAGAAGATGTAGTCCATTATTTATATTGATAGACATTTCCTTTGAGGCATGGGTTATATTTTATTTGAGTAGAAAGGTTTTGTCTCAAAGTGATTGGCACAGCCAGAGTCATTAGGTGACCTAGGTTGCTTCCTACACTAAGAGTTGATCTATCCCTCACTTAGCAAGTGACAATCTATAAAAGACTGCACTCGTGGCATGAGTGTGGGAATCATTTTTTGATCAACCACAACACCAACCACTATTTTTTATGTATACATTGGAATATCTATTTTGAGAGTGTTGATCATTCAAATATAAATTAGTTTCCTAGCATTAAAAATATAATGAGACTTCACAGAATAAATTTCTCTCCAAAATATATTACCTAAACATATTCTGGTAATTTTGATGCATTTAGAAATTGAAATTATTGCCCGGATTATTATATAATCAGATGACACAATATATGACACTGGAATTATAAGTGAGTGAAGTCCATGCCTTTTAACACATTACATATAACACTGGCCAAGTGCCAAATATACATGCTTGCAATATATAATATCCTCTGTACCTTTTATGAAATTACTTTACTGTTTAGCTTTATGTAATATTGCATATGTTTCTATGGTAACCATTTTTCATAAAATTTCATATTTTGTCTGATTTTGCCAAGTTGGCAAAGGAGAAGTCAAGAGATCTTATTAAAATTTTAAATCATGCTAAAGTTATTTTGATAAATATAAGCTAAAATACGAAATGCAAAATATCATTACTGTAAGGGTTGTTGCTATGGTAACCATACTACTTATCAATAAATGGTTTCTAACAGATATACAGTATTGAAACAATATCTAACATCTAAATCTCTTTTGAAATGCATGATAACCTTATATTAACTGATAATAGATTGATTGCATGATATCTTTCTTGCGTAACAATATCCCTATTACAATGTTAAAACTGGGCCATTCTTTTCATACTGCTGGATTACATTGCGGGCAACGCCCACTTTTCAATGGAAAACCTTGTTTGACACTTCTTTATTAATCATTTGCCAGGAATGGTTGGCTCGTTCTTTTCCTGTTATTGGGAATACATTGAAACAGTTTCAATTTATGCAAACTAGACTGTTCTAACACTTTCTTGGCAGTCTACTAACCTAGGGGGGGGGGGGGGGGGGGGGGGGGGTCAAAATAAAAATTGATAATAGCCACTTTAATTCTTAAAACATGTTTTATTAGATTTACAATGAGATACTTTGTTATTCTATGACAGCTATTTTCTAAAACATTCGTGAATTTAACTGCCCCATTTTTATTTTTCGACCACCGGGCCAGTAGATCGGCAAAAATGCAAAAATATTGAGGTGAGTACTCTAAGTGTGCTCCTATCAGACACTGCCTCTTTAATGGTGAAAGATTGATTTACCTGTTACGACATCTTTGTGTTCTTTAAAAGCTGCAAATGGAATATATGGTCTCCTAATGTCCCATACATTCACACTGCAGTCAACTAACAAGGCACAGCTTGCTATGTGGTACTTCCTTTGTGGTCGCCACTTACACCTGGCAACACTTGCTATAGATTGCACTGTGTGTAGATTCTTTGGCTTTAATAACTGCATATCCCATATCTAAAATACACAATTTTTTACTAAATAAGACATCTTACATTTAGAGCATATGTTCTTGTATTAGTCCAAAATGTTTTGTTTCATTTACAGGACATTTCATAAGACAATGCTTTGTATTAATACTTGACCAAGGTAATAGAAACACAAAACAGTGATGAAATCAATATTTAAATTCACCCATTAAACACAAAAAAAATTCCCGAAACTTTACCAATAAAAGGTGAATTTGATTTGTCAAAATCAAAATTTCCCTTTCATAATAGGGTGGCGATCTATTGTACAATATTGCTAAACAGGCGACACCAACAAAGAGCATTCGATTTGCTAAAAGTATATACATTTCCCTTTAACAATACATTACACATATAGATTAAGTTTTTGTTAATACAAATGCATTATTACATAGTACTAAATATGCACATTGTTAATGCTTCAGATTTGCCTCAAATATTATATTACCTTTATAGTTTTATCTCTGCCAGCAGAGGCAAGGATGTTTTTGTCATCTGGATGCCAGTCTAAGGAGAATATTGGACCACTATGCGCTGTGAATTGACGTTCCCATTTATCCAACTTGCGTAGATCCCAAATCTGAAAGAACAGAGAGAACAAAATTAAATTCATTATATCACAATCATCATAACCATCCTCAATTATCATTATCATCAATAACAATCCACAATCAACATTATCAACAATTGTAACAGTACAATCATCATTATCATCCACAATTATCATTATCAACAATTATCTTGCGTAATCATCATTATCATCTTCAATGATGATTTTCATATACAATCATTATTACCATCCCCAATTATCATTTGCATCTACATTTATCATTACCATGTACAATCTCCATTCTATTGAATGAGACTCGATATCATACAATAAATCATTCCTGCAAAAATTACTTTACATCTCTAATCTTTGATTGCTTGGATAAACATTTAACCGTAAAGTTGTCATTACACTTATACAGCGAACAACTCACTTGCTATTTTAAGATGAAAACAATCAAATCATCGCAGAGCAGTTTACCAAAACTAATTTAACTAAGCAGGTTACATAAAACCAATCCCATTACATTTTTGAGAATAAAGCAAATGGGTCTTGTTTTCAGCTCTTGCCAATCCTTACCATTCCTTTCTTTCAAAGGATTCATACTTCGTTATGTGCTGTATAAATGTTAATAAAAAGGAAAGTAATATTGTGGCAGCAGAACAATCAATTTTTTTACTTTTTATATCTAAGGTGCCTGTACATAAAATATACAATATACAATTTGTACAGACGTGCACATGCATATCCACCATCAGCACAAGACTATGTCAATTTAGAACTTTGAAAAGTGGGATGATTGAAGGTGTTGCTTTACAAAAGCATGAGATGTTGAGCATTGAGTGTTCATTTTAGGGCACAACACATGAAAGGATTTTTAATCTGAGGAGTCCAGTTATCACCTTGACAAACGTTTAACTAATGACCTTGAGTTGGTTATTGGTTATATAATGGAATGGAGTTATGTGAAATAGGTCTCGGGCCTTCGAATTGGCTGGAATGGGACACACCTTGCCTAGCTATGTGCGAAAACATGATATAGGCTAGGTGAGAATAACCTCCAATAACAGTGTATATAATGGCATTTAAGAGCATTATTGAATATTCTAGTGGCACAACATGAGAACCTCTCTTTGGAATTATGAATAGCTCTACTGAATAGTACTCCACTTTGGAAAAATAAGATAAACTTTCCATTAATAAATGAAATCTTAGACTGCATTCGTTTGACTGGGTACGACATAATCAGAGCTGTCTACATCAATAACTTTTGTTCTTGAGTTAAAAAAATCACATTTGATCAACTTGACGATGTATACTCACATGATTGTGGTAATGACTCCTAACCATGACAATGGCCAATCATCACAGAAATAGACATTTTGTTTCTTGTTGTGTTTATACTTATGTTCTACACAACTTAATGGCCTCATCATTGTTAAAGAGGCATTAACATGAAAAATGTCACAACCTGCCATTTGTTACAGATGCCGAACTCTGATTGCGAAACTCTGAATGTTACACTCCGAACACCAACTGTCTAACAAAATCCACAAAAAAGTTGGAGACTAATAATATGTCAACACTTGTGGTGGTGACAAAAATGCTAGTTATCATTATCCAAGTGAGACACATTGATTTACATTAGATTATATAGTAGTGGTAAAATAGTTTATCATATAATGAAGAGTGATTTATAAGGTTGCGACAAGACAAATGAAGGCCTTCTTCATTCTGGCTGACACAACAGTACATTAGAAACCTTTCAAATAATCAGAAGTCACAAAATTGTATTTAGGAGATGCATAACAGCAATATCATTAATTCTGAAAGCCTCTCATTGAAAAATAAAGAAAACCAATTTAAGTCTTGATGGATCTTGATAGATCAAGATGACATAAAATGCGGAAGTTTCTTTGGGTTTGAAAAACAATTCAGGGAAAATATAAATAAACATAATATACAGAATAATCTATTATGTTTCAATTTTTTCTAATTACTAAATACATGACATAGACAGGGAGGACAAAGTACAGATAAAAACACCAAAGGTGGTGCAACTTGAAAGCCAAAAGAGAAAAAATCTAAATCTAAAATTGGGATGATGGTATATACTTGGGTGCATCAAAAAGTTTTGCAATTTTGACTCTATCGCAATAACTATATTGAGTTATGTCATTTTATTTGGCACATGCAGTGATCATACATTTTTGGACATACCTGTAAAATTTGGAGACCGGATCTTCATTTTTTAAGAAAATATGGTTGTCATAGCAACATAAGATGCGACCTCATGGTTCCATGCAAATTTATTATTACGCAATAAACAGAATAAATGACAACAATTTGCCAACACCTTGTTTAGTCTCATATTAACAATTTTTCTGCATATTAAAACATTGTTCTCAAATTCCTATTATCAATTTTATGCAAATATTGTTCTCAAATTATTCAAAATAATTGCCCCTAGCTGCCAAACATTGTTGATGTCTGTGGACCCAGTCTCTGAAGACAGCCTGAAATCCCCCTGCTGATAAAACAGCCAATCACTTCCTCATGGCTGCGGCAAGTTCCTCCTGGGTATGCCCCTCAATCCCGTCTTAATATGACTGAACAAGAAGAAGTCACATGGTGATGTGTCTGGGGAGTAAGCTGCCTGCGGTACACGCTCCCAATCCAGGTCCTCTAGAGGATCCATTGCCACCCTACTTGTATGGGCCCTTGCTTTGTTCATATGGAAGTGGGGTTTGAAGCCAAAAATATACTTGAAACAAAAATGGCTGCCAGAATTCACAAGTTCTCCCCATAATCTACATCACAATGTAAATCCATATGTCATAAGTCTTGTGTTGTATCATCAGAACAATAAGAAATAGAAAAAGGGGAATGAAAAGACACACAAACCTGTAATTTTGGTGACTGAATCATAATAATAACAGAATGTAATAGAATTTAAAATTAACATATTCTAGGTGGAACAGATTACCCTCGGGTCCCGTTACCATAGCAACCATATCTTTTTAACCAATCACAGATGAGCAACCAAATCATGACACATTATGTATAGATATATGATCTATAATTGTGCCATTGAACTCAAACTTTATCAAAGATATTTCAAGTTTGGTTTGGCACCATCCTGTAGTATATAGGGTTAGGTACAAAAAATATGCATTTTTTCATAATACATGTACATCCAAAAATGCCCATTTCCTAGTATATATAAAGGCTTTAATAAAGACACTATGCGTCAGGGTGAAATGTTGCTTTAGTGATTAATTATTCATTCCAACAACAGTATTGTAAGTAGTAGATTTACAGGTACTTTATCATCCATCCTCAATATATTAATGATTTTATCTAACTATTGACATAAAGGTTTCCCTAACCTTCAGTATTAAATGGACTATAAAGAGTCAAATAGACTTTATTTCAGGATAATTATAAATAAATAATTTTAGATAAAAGTTAAAAGGGGGTGTACTCTTCAATTCTTATTTGGACTTTTTCGTGTGCTAAATCTTCAAAATATTATGAAGATTGTAAGGAAAACATTGGTATGATTTTTGGTAACATTGGTACGATTTTTGGTAACATTGGTATGATTTTTGGTAACATAGGTAATATTTTCCCCTAATTCGCCCCTTCAAATTTCTTTTAATAAAAGTGAATACATATTTCTAAAACGATATAATATGCATTGTACTGTGTCTCTCCATGAGGTGTTTTATAGAATTATAATGATGATTATTATATAATTAATATAGCATGGATAGTTTATTGTTCAGAACAGTATATACGCAATCTGATTGGTTGACAGTACCAATACATGGTCGATTCTCGGTCCGAAAATAGTGAAATGGCAGATATCCAAGTATAGGTACATGTAATAGGATTCTTTTCACATTATTTGAAATAAATCCATTCCCACATTAACAGTCATACTGACAATATATGCAGTTGACACCCTCAGGAAGTTCAACTATGAGGAATCAATGCAATTGGATAATAACAGTTTTAATGAACACCCGTGTCAACGAACCATTAAGTATTTTCAATTCTTCTTCGAACATATTATAAACAATGGGATGTTTTGACAACTTTATACTTATTGACTTTGACGATAAAAGAACGTCATTTGCCTTAAAAAATATGCAGAACGCAGAAATAAAATATTGCATGTATATAAAAAGCACTGGTAAAAAGCAATATAGTATACATCTCAACACTAACTGTATTCAACACAAATATCAGCACAAACATAATCTATCTACAGGTGTATAATAAAACTTTTGTTCAACGGCATCAATCTGCAAAGGTGCTTTTAAGATTGTCTAATTATCTATTAATATTAACAAATAAATGATTCAGGATTATACTGTAAACGACTGTAATATCCGTAACATTTTATAGTATTAATTGATTTGCCAATGTGCACCTAGTACCCCGGACAAATTGATTTGCAATTTAATTTTGTGGCCAACTTGTCATTTACATGTATCACCTCTCATATTCCCAAACATAAGATCAATTATGCAAATTCCTCACATTGTAAGATGGTCATCATCACATAAAAAGGACCTCTTGGAAAAGAACAAACAGAGATTGGCAGAATATCATTTTTGTGAGAGGGATTAAGAGGGAAAATATGATTTTTTCAGTTAAAAAAAGATTCCCAGTTGTAATTTACTGGGAAGTAATAGTGTCATGGGATAACAAATGCTTACTCTAGAGGCAGCAAATGGCCAATATGGATCAATGTAGCTGAAGATGTCTATGAAGATATATATTGCAGATCAAGTACATTTTTCATTTTCATTATCATTTTACTGTGTGATTATTATACATCCCTGGGGTGTAAAGGTCATATGCCATGTATATATGTTAGATTGAATTTTAATAAAAATGTAGATATAAAAAGGGATAAGTATTTCTACAGGCACATATATAATAGTCAGGATATTGTCTTGACACTCTTTTCAACTGAATTCCATAAATATATCTAGGGTACTAAATCATTCTGCATCACTGGGGAATAATAAAAAATAGGAATCAGCATACACATTACAAGAATGACTGCCAGGCACATTAACAATGTGCTTTTGACTTTACTAATAAACATTGCGATCTTGGAAATAACATTGGCAGTGACATTTACATATTACCACATCAAGCATGGGAAACTCCTCCAAATGAATACTACTGAACACTTTAATGAGAACTCCATTGTTGGTTGTGCAAGGAGATGTCAAGCAGCAAATTGCAGTGCTATAAACTTTAACACTATGAGCAGAATGTGTGAAGTAAAGTTAGATGATGTGACAATAAACAGAACCAAAGTTGATGAAACTGATGTCAACTGGATGAATGCAGTACATGATGAAGGTAGGTCTTTCATGTCTTTAAGTTTCTCTTAAAAGTGGATGGTGATCAGGAAAATTGCTTAGATTGATGTTGACTGAATTGGTGATATAAAAGGTATTTCAGTTTAGTTTGTATTTTAATGAACCTAAGCCCTTAAAAAGAGAGGGATTGTTTCCTCCTCTTGCCCTCAAATGTTTATCAAGTAATTTGTCAAATGCAAGCGCTTTATCAGAGCATTCTATTGATGCGCATACCATTTAGAATTTATTGCACAAATATAATCCTGGCAATCCTACTAGGGTAAAGGAAAACAAGAACACAAATGTGTACAAAATGTCCCCACCTATGGGTGATCCCGTCAAATGGTTATCCTAAAAAATGAGTAGACAAGACTTTACCGACACAATTTGAGGATGGAAAATCCAAAATGGCCACCTTAAAATTTACCCAGAATGCCAAAAAATTAGTCAGTTCTAAATTTTCATACTAAGAACCAACCCTGAAAATTTGAAATTGATCCGTCACACAGTTAACCAGAAAACATGTAAACAAGACTTTACAAACAAGATTTTAGGACAGAAAATCCAAAATGGCTGCCTTGACATTTACCCAGAATGCCAAAAAATAATCAGATCTAGATTTTCATACTAAGAATCATCCCTGAAAATTTGAAATTGATCTACCAAACGGTTCACCTAAAAACGTGTAGACAAGACTTTACGGGCAAGATTTTAAGACGGAAAATCCAAAATGGCTGCCTTGACATTTATCCAGAATGCATAAAAACTAATCAGATCTAGATTTTCATACTAAGAATCATCCCTGAAAATTTGAAATTGATCTACCAAACAGTTCACCTGGAAATGTGTAGAGAAGACTTTATAGACAAGATTTTAGGACAGATAATCCAAAATGGCTGCCTTACACATTTACCCAGAATGCCAAAAAACTAATCAGATCTAGATTTTCATACTGAGAATCATCCCTGAAAATTTCAAATTGATCTACCAAACGGCTCACCTGAAAATGCATAGACAAGACTTTACAGACAAGATTTTAGGACGGAAAATCCAAAATGGCTGCCTTGACATTTACCCAGAATGGCCAAAAACTAATCAGATCTAGATTTTCATACTAAGAATCATCCCTGAAAATTTGAAATTGATCTACCAAACGGTTCACCTGAAAACGCGTAGACAAGACTTTACAGACAAGATTTTAGGACGGAAAAATCCAAAATGGCCGACAATAAAAAAGTGATTATGAGTTTTTGCTGATTTCTTTTTACAAAATTATCACATATAACTACTGTTAACAATAACATAGGCTTTTACAACAAAGTACACCTGAAATTATTTATAAAGCTACTAAATAGTTAAAGTATGAAAACTGAAAAACACCATTCAATATGATACAAAGTATTATTGTGCGCTAACTTTTCTTAAAACATTCAAAATGGCTGACATGACTGAGCTAACAGGTCCAAAACCTAATAAGATCTAGAATTAAGTGAGCTGAACAAGATGTTAAAGTGTTAAAAGCAACTGTGAAGCCGTTTTTCTTAAAAGTTTGCAGACAAGGATTTTTGCATTTGACTTCAAAATGGCCGACAGGTAGTAGGTATCCAGTTAATTTTTTTTCATCCACATCTGTATTCACTCAGACAGACGGACAGACAGACAGACAGACGGACGCGCCTAGGCCGACAATATGGCCCCACACTATGTGGTGGGGACATAATAAAATAATATTTTGGCTTTTACATATTATTTTCTAATGAAAAATGTTTTTTATGCATTGTTCAAGTGTCTGTCCCTTTTTAATCTATTTAGAGTCCATTTGAAAAATACCAATTAAATTTTACTAAATAAGTCAATAGGGAGTTTAAGCTTGCATATGAAATTGAAACGCCAGCCTATACGTTTGACCCAATCGCCAATACAAATGCATCGCTTAAATAATTTCCATTCACATTTAGGTTGTGAAAAACATTGCTAGCTTACACTCCCTATTGTCTAATAATCATCCTGTATCTAAATGCTTAATATATTCCTAATCTCATTTGCATAAAACTTGAATAAAGCTGCATTATTCAATGATGATTTCAGCATGCCCAAGTGCAAGCTACAGGCGTGATATTGTGAATGGAAGATGTTACAAGTTTGTGGATGAGAAAGTAAACTGGGCTACAGCTAAACAGAAATGTGAAGATGATGGTGGTGATTTGTGCGCCGTAGAGACATATGGAGAATGGGAAGCCCTCAGCAAAGCAATGTTTGGATATGAAGGAGGTATACCAGTGAAATTAACATAATACAGTAAAACCTGTATATCTGAACACCTTTTTCATCCAAACACCTCTTGATGTGAACACTTTTTCATGGTCCAAATTCTGTATCTCCCACTGACTTGAAATGTGATCACATGCGTGTTGGTATTATCTGAATACTTTTGGCCAGTCCCAGGTTTTACGACACTGGGGAAAAATGTTCCTGTCATAATACCACAAGTACTGACCAGACCTTGGCATCTTGTGTTGAGCTGATCATACTGGCAAGTTTGCTAATTCTAAAACCCCGAAATATCTGAGATCTGGTTAGTACCCATTAAATACATCATCTCTTTAAAAAGATTTAACCCTCTAATACCCTGCAAATAACAAAAATCGCACTTATCACACCACTCTAAGAAATAAACAAGATCCATAGAATTTTTTTTCAATGAGAAAACTGCTTCATGTATTTTAATAGTGAATTAAAAATCTGATCAGCAGTTTTCCTGAAATCACCATGTCAAAATTTATTGAAAAAATTCCACGATGGCCTCCAGAAATCAAAATGGCAGCCCAGTTGTAAGTCAAGTTAGAGCTTGATAACATCTAACATATCTAAGCTTGCTTATAAGCTGTTTTCCTGAAATCAGAACCATCGCTCCAATGACCCCAGTCATCATTATGACAATATCCCATTGATGGTGTGATAAAAATGTACTATCCTAAAAATATTGATTTATACGTATTTATAGGTCCCTGGTATACTTTAGGCCAGAACACAACAGATGGTTGGCGATGGTTGGTCCCTGGAACTCCCAAAATCTTGATGGATCGTACAATGTGGGGCAATGGAAAACCAGATAATGCAGAAGTGGACCAAATTTGCATTGCATTGGCAGATCATAGTTATCGTCTTAACAATATCAGATGCACTTTCAAGAGGAAATACATATGTGAGTCACCAGCTTATTTCTACTAAGTTAATGCTGGATGAGAATCCTCATGATAATCCAAAGCGGGAAAATAAGGAAGTAAAAATTTGTACCGATAAAGAATGCATTTTGGGTAATCTATTTACCTTATAAGGAAACACACTTGTCCCTCCCTATTGGAGAGGTCTACCACGAGAGAATTGAAATAAAGAAAGAAAGAATGGACGATGAATAAATTAAAACTTGTAAGGACCACTGTCTAGTGAAAAGTGCCCTTCATTGGCCAATGTACTTATATAACAGGCAAATGCAGTCAATCTCAAACCCAGTCAACTTCAGGGAATTTCGCAAGACATGATTACAATATTGTGGAATATTGTGTCTCTGTAATGAAGAATACTTATCATAGTTATGTTTCAGATAATTTGTGAGACATAAGAAAAAATCAGTTCATCTTCACTTATGCTTTTGAGGAATGAGATCAGCCTAGATTGTAATAACTTATATTTTACCATAAACTGCCAGGCTGATATCACTAAGTGACATTACCTGCACATTGCCATTTTCAAATGCAGCAGCGAATTGGAAGTAATGATGGGGGTTGAATGTGACATCTCTCACACTTTCTGAGCGCCCACTAAATGTAGTGCAAACCTCTTTCTTCTTCAGGTCCTACAATTGTATATTGTTATGAATTAAACAAGCCATAAACAATTTAACATGACAATCTGGTTTCAAAAAAGAAAGGATGTGAAACAATATGTTGCCAGAAATCCAGAACAAAACTTTAAAAACCTATGATGTTTATGTCTTATATGAAAGCTGTTTATGTCAGTAGATGAATTGCTAGAATATTGTAAATACAATTTTTGTTTACCACCTCTTGTGTATATACCATTTTCAATGTAGACATCTAATGAGAGAGTCATATTGTTATACTCTAATGTTAAGTCAAATGAGCACTTATTATTCCTTGCTAGTTAATACTTTCTCACTCTGTTCCTCATTTTTAAATTTTTATAAAAGGTAACTCCATAACCCCCTCCAATTTTCTCTCTGGATGAACTTACAAAGAGTTTCATGAATCCATCCTGTGAGCCACTAAGCAGAAGATGTGACTCTGTATGGTGGAACGCAACCTTGCTGACAAACCTTCTGTGCTCAGAATATACAGTATCTGCAAATACACAAGTTCATATGTGTATATGTATTTATTTGTTTCTTACATGTCTTAGCAAAGATTTTAATTTTTGAGAATAAGTTCCTAAAAATAAGGTTGAGAAAGATGTATGCTGTCTCTAAATATCGTGAATTACACTGGAGTTAAAACCCCTACCCCAAAAATGTAATAGCTCATTATTGATTTTTCAAAAAAATCTTTCCAATCTCTTAATAAAAATTGATGTACATTGCATATACCCCTCCCCCCATGTGGGATAGTGATTGATTGAAGTTTTCCCAAAGCTTCTTGAAATTGAAATATATACATAATAACATGGACAACCCTTACCTAACTTTGACCTTGATGTTTTATTGAGATCCCATATAACCACAGAGCTGTTGGTTGCTGCAGATGCCAAGATATGATCTGAAATATAATATGCCAAGATATAATCTGAAATATAATATGCCAAAATATGATCTGAAATATAATATGCCAAAATATGATCTGAACTATAAAATACAAAGATATGATCTGAAAATATGCCTGTAAATTAGATACCTCAATGTAATGTATATATGCCAGTGGAAAAACTGAAATTGACAGAAAACTGAAGTTGATATGATGATGAGAAATTAACACCAGAAATCAATTATGCTAGCATTTGAGCAGTAATATATTGCCCTTGGCCTTGAGTAAACTAAAGATGTTTTACCATCTACTGGGTTCCAGGCCACATTTGATGCACTAAAGTTGAGGTTGATATTTCTTCCAACCCTCAAGTTGTGCTTCTCTACAAACTGATCGTCCTCTATGGAGAATATCTTAAACACTGAAACAATAAATAAATAAAAATAAATAATAAACAAAAGTTTTGATTCTGGGCCATAAATAATGCTCTAGTTATTGTTTTATGCACCGATGGTAACAAGAATTTTACATGACCAGGACTGTTTCTGCTAATAATAATTCTGTAAAATTACAAAGAAATCGTATAATAGCGTATAATAAGATAAGCAATACAAACCATTTCTGCCCGCTACTACCACTTGGGAGGAGTCCTTATTGGTAGCGATACAGTTCAGAGCGCCCTCTAGGACAGTGTGCTGCATTGTTCGAGATGAGCTCTCACTCACTAGACAATATACAAAACAAATATCAATGTCACAAAAAACTACCATAAATAATGTTATGTAAACCACAAGGCATGTGTATGAAACTGTGCTCAGAGAGTATTTCACCTAATGATTAAAAACAAGTTACATGTTTTCTGTTCCATGATGAGCAGACACTTCTCAGTATTCAGCCTGACGGGAAACTTGGAGCTTGATAAATGATAGTAATCAAATTGTGACGTCTGTGTAACTTTAAGCCCATGCTAAATGGAACGCTCAAAATCAATCTGAGATGGCATCTCATTTTAATATAGCACAATGCAATATGTCATAATTGAATGTATACATGCAACGAATTGTGTAATTACATACCAATTGCCAATAGGCGTAATTCAAAAAGTATCACTTTCAAATCAGCGTGTTTAGTGAAAATATGAGTATAATATTATCATACAGTTATATATGTACCTAATGACTGATAATAAATACATGTAATCTATAATTATTGATAATAATCAAACAGATGATTATTTATGATCTTTGCAGCTATAATGGTTTTGAATTGCTTGTTTCAGTTGAATATAGGCATTTAGTCTTTAATAAGTTCAAACAAATAAAAACAAACATTTTCTCTATATTTAACAGACAACAGGGATGTAACCAGGGTCTAGACTTAGGCGAGGCAAACAAATAACAGATGAGGTAAATATAAATAGATGAGGCAAACATGAATAGATGAGGCAAACATGAATAGGTGAGGCAAATTAGGCTAAATGAGATATAATACTCCTTTAAGTTTTAATTGAAAAATGTCTGAAAAAGTATATTTCTGTAAAATGTTGGTAAGCCTCGCCCTCATCATGCCTGGTTACGCAAACTAAGTAAACTATGCAAGAACAACACTGGATACTTATTTCAAACAAAGAAAGCAAAGTGCTTAATAGAGGTTCAATCTTTCAAAGAAGGGGTGCAATTTTGCAAGGAATATTTAGTTTCAAAAAAGTAAAATGTACTCAATCCTATCACATGAATATCGATACCCATGGTTTATAATCAAATGGATAAGTTGGTTTAAATGCCGTAAAGGGCAATAATTATCACAAATGGCTATGATACACTTCATGTATACGGAAATTAATATGAAACATCAGAACATATAGAGTGAAACCTGTATCTTAATACCTGGCTAATCCGAACACCTTCAAATCCGAACACTTTTTCAACTCCCATTATTCTCCCATTGACTCCCACTTTAAAAAACTTGAAATCTGAACACCTCCCAATAAACAATGAACACTCACAATTGAAAAATTAGCCTGTCTAATCTGAACACTTTTCACAAACATCACATATTTCTTTAAAAAAATTGCTCAAATTTTTTCAACACTGATTTGATATATCAAAACTTTTGAAAAAACATCAAATGGTCTCAATCATAATGGATCTTTCATAGCATGACTAATTTCCTTTGAATCAGATTTTGGAATGGCATAAACCTATATTTTGTCAATAGAAATATTAATTCAAAATCGAAAATCTTGTGGATGTAAAAACCTCGAAATCTGAACACCTAAACAGGTCCCAATGGTGTTTGGATTTTACACATTTAACTGTATGTCAGCATAAAGGATATTTCCAAATTATCTAGAACAAGAATTTTCTGAAAATAGTGGCTTAAATTGCATTCTCCCTTGAGTAAAACATTAATTTCATTCCACATCTGTTCAAAATTTATTCACCTCTGATTAACTTCAAAAAGAAATAAAAATGCAGAAAAATGTAGTAACTATTGATGGATTGTCATAGAAAATATTTTTTGCGATCTAAAAATATCATAACTTGAAAAAAGTACTTGGAAAACCAACATGCACGAGAAGTACCAAAAGCATTGAGGTAAATATCTCATAAAACTTTAAAAAATCCACTCACTAGGTGAGAAATATTTTCAAGATATGATATTCATAGGGTGAAGTATGCTACATACAGTATATTGACTGAATGAAATATGTGATTAAGCATAAGCTATAAACCCAAAGCAAAAACATGTTCACTCAAGGAGAAATGGATTTAGGACTGTGTGTCATGAAGGAATGAAACACCATTTCAGTATTTCAAATCTCAGAAAATAATTTAATAAATGGTTCACAATATCTACTAAAAAGCCAACGATGCAAAGTGATATTACATGTTTTTCTCATAAAGTGCTTGATGTTATATCATGCCAAAATATACAAAATGTTGTCTTCTATCATGCCCTTATATACCCCTCACATAACATACACATCCTCTGACTGACATTTACACTGGGTGGCCCAAAAATAGTTCACAGTTACAGTTAACAGATTGTTAAAGAACTAGAAACCTACTTTTGGGCTACCCAGTATAGGAGGAGACAGACATGTCAATTAAAGTATGATTTTGTATCTTTTTCAGGTATATTATATATTATATTCATTGATAATATTTATGAGAACAACCTGTACCTATCGCATCTACAGGGTGGTCCAAAAAAAGTGAACCCCTGCAACAGGCTATATTTTCCCTAATACATGAATTGGCTCATATTATCACATCTTGTAGAGAAAGGTCTAAAATTTTTGTTGATGCCATAATTTATTCTCAGTCAGAATTTTGATGAAATTACAAGAAATTAAGACTTTTATTAAATAATGTGCAAAATGTTACCAATGTGATTCATGGAAATTGTTAAAACACATTAGGTGATGTTAAAAAGCTTACGGCGATAGATATAAGTTTAAACCATACCATATGACAAATGGGACACTATTTGGGCAGAAAACACATTCAACAGTTATAAGGGGCATGTTACCTACACAAACGGTCAGAGGGGGAGAGAGGGGGGGGGGGGTAATACTACCTCTGTGACCCAAATTTTGAGAAGCTCTTCATATAAATATCTTAGAAAAATCAAAAGGAAATCTAATATTGAGAATTTTGAGCCATATTTCATAACAATTGGTCCATGATTAATGAAGATATTGACATTTTATGACCATAAGGGTATGTTGTGATTTTACTGGAAGATATTTTCGTCTTTTGAAACTTAGACCATTTCTTTGGATCACAATAACTTTGCAACTAACGGAGGCAGGATACTAATTTTTACACCATAATATGCAGGATTTAAAACCAAACAAAGTCAGAGAACATTAAGTTTTTCAGACTACGACTAAAAAGATTTCCACAGGAGGATTGTTGAATGGGTGAAGAATCGCAAATGTTGAAGTTCACATTTTATCGATTTTCAATGATGTTTGGTTTGGGCTTATAATTTCTGCAAATATCAAGACTACGAAAAATATATGGTACCAACAAAACATTTAGACCTTCCTCTACAATATGTGAAAATATGAAAGGATTCCTGCAGGTAATAAGGGAAATATAGCCTGTTGCAACAGTTTACTTTTTTGGACCACCCTGTACATGTACAAGGGTTGATAAAAAGTTCTTTACTTTTCCCTCTCAATTAATCTCTTTATCTATTTATTATGTCAGTAAAATCTCTTATTTGATATATTTTGCATTTTGAAGATTTTAATAGGTTGGCTGCAGTATAATTATATGAACAGTTCATGATAAACTGTTTGCAAACTAAATTTCTAATCAATTGTCACTTTTTTGGTGAATCATTTTTAGTTATCCAATATAGGGTGTTGTTTAAATATCAGAAAGATTATCTTAAAAATCAAAATCTTAGACTGAATAGTAATGAACTTTTTGATCTCTCCTTGGATGTTGGTCTTTTTAGATGTGGATCTATAAGCTCTGAAATATAGCCTATCAGTTTTACCTTTACTGATTCGAAATCTTCTTTTTGAACTCATGGATAACCTTAAAATGAAGATGATATACTAATACATGTATGTTATTTTCTCTTTGGTTTAGTCAGTGATGTGAGAGTTACTGTGCATCGGTGAATTCAATATGTTAGTGAAGTGAATTTAAAATATGTAGAGATGGATAAAAAAAATAGATGGTAGCACATTTGTCGGTATACATACTATTTATAGTATGTAGACAACTGGCAAACAAAATACATAAGTGTCTAACATAAAAATTGTAAACCTTAAAGAAAGAGTAAATGAACTTTTAACGATTTTTTAACAATGTGTCAATGGGGATTTAGGCAGCCCAACCTTTTTCAGAGAACATGATAATCCTGAAAATTGGAGCAAATGTGAACTGTGCAAATCAAAATTGGTTTGATAGAAAACAACACAAAGAATTCAAATATGTCATCAAATAGAAAAATGTTGATCTTAATGGTTAAAAACATGGGTTTCATAAAAGTTGGTTATAAAAATCAAAGTTTGTTCAGTTGGAGTCTTGGGTCCCCTAGCCATTAGTCCCCTAAAAAGAAAATCTATGTAAACAAAAATTCCTATTGCAATATGGTTCCATCCACTTATTTAAAGCTCTGTCAAGTAGCCAATTATCACGCATACATATAATAGATCCTTTATTCACTTTTTGTACATATATTTAATATTGTAAATTGAAACATAAATTGACTTTCTTAAGCTTAAATTCAGCTGTTAATTCCAACTCCCTCCACTTTGAATTCTGTTTAGGATGGCAGCTACACCATTTTTGTCATAGATGATGCAGACATGAATTAATCACATTTTCATTTATTAAATGATGAATTAACGAATAACCACTTGTTGGGTTCATGACATAGAAAATATCCCGAGACATCACCTGTTATGTGCGCGCATTGGTCTATGAAATCTATGAACAAGTTGTGAGAGGTTTTGTTATGTTAAAGTTCAAGGGGTCGGTTCAAGCACTCACGACACAACATGATATGGAATGTGATCTCGACAAATACAATACTGGTATTATTTCACTTTCGTTTCAGCATGTCAAACAGTTTGAATCTGTAACAAACACATCTAGAATGAGTATTATGAATACATGTAATTTAAAGTTCATGATTCTCATTTCAATTTTCCACTTTCGGTCAGTCCTCCTCAGATTCTGAAATGGCGATTTTTCTAAGGCTCTGGATGGTCCAAAATAATGCAATGAAATAGTGTGCATATTTGAACCCATTCATCCTGTAAGTGGATATTTAATAGTTAATTTTCCTATGAAGTCAAAACACTTTCAAGCGATGATCTTTGCATGAATTAAACTTTAGGAATTTTCATGAATTTTTTCTTGGCATATATCATTGACACCAAACCATAGTCAGCACCATCTATCTAATATCTAACATAATGAAGTCTGGTTACTTAGAAAAAAGAAAATTCTAAATAATTTTTTTCTCATGCCAGGGGCTTTGATCAGTGATATCTTATGTTTATTCAACTTTCATATTTTAACATTTCTGGGCGATCTATAAATAGATATGAGGTCATGTCCATGAGCGGAGTTTTGGCCCAAAAAAGTAAGAAATTGTGCTTCAAGCTAAATATCTGCGATTTGTAAGTGATTCTGACAATGTTCTAAGTATCAAAATAATGCTTAGAGTATTGAGACTCAACTGAAGTTAAAAAATAAGGTAAAATGTACACAAACTCATAACCAAACCCGTCTGGCCCAGTTATCTACTCCTGACGTCGTAGATCTGGGCCAGACGAGGTCCAATGCAAAAAAAGGAGGATTTATTCCGGAAAAAAACATTACTTATTATTCATTCCCTATTAGCCATCAAACCAAAATATCGGGCTCCATGTAAACCCAAGTATTTATTTGAAATAAAGAGTATATAACTTACACGTAAATGTGGTGTTTTGTTTGTTATATTGATGTTGAAATGGGCACAAGATTTCGTCAATATTTTCGTCAGTTCTCCACACCGAATAAAGTCAAGTGATGATTTGACGCGATGATTTCTTAACTTTCATGGAATGAAAATACATTTCCCAGGAACCAATACATCCCAAATATTACGATTTCTTCAGCAGATGTGTTATCAAAATGTAGATTACTTTATAAAACAGATGTATCTGTGTTGTATTTAGACTTGAAAGAAATATGGTGGACATTAAATACTTTTTCAAATTGTTGAACTGACCGAATGTAGTTCTGAACGATATATGCAGCCGAGACTTCTCGATATTCTATGAGATCATGAACAGATTGCAGAAGAATTTTTCTTTTTGCTGCGTTTAATCGTTTCGTTCTTATTTATTAGCCGTCGTCCAGCGATGGAAACCTAATATAAATACAAAGTTTGATACAAGGAACAAACATGTGAGTGTTTTTATGATGTTTATTCATTTATCAGCACGTATTATACATTGAAAAACCAGTGTGTTTTTTCCGGAGTAAATCCTCCCTTTTTTGCATTGGATCTCGTCTGACCCAGATCTACGACTTCGGGAGTAGATAACTGGGCCGGACGGATTTGGTTAACAAACTCAGTGATTATGACCAAACAAAAACGGGAGTACAAACCGGAAGTCAAAAGAGTAACCACACTTTCAGAATAACTGAATAATGAAGATTCACCAGCGGATCTAGACGGGGGCGTGGGGGGCGCACGCCCCCCACTTAAAAGTCGGAAAATTTGTGTTTTGCCTCATCGCATTTTACAAAATTTGACTCTTCACTCACAGTTATTATCACACGCCCCCCCCCCCCCCCCAACACAAAATCCTGGATCCGCCCTTAAGATTGATGGTGCTCACTGTGCACCGAACACACGGAATAACTTGTGTCAGTAAGGCAAACTTTTTATTGGGAAAGCAAGACATAACCTTCAGCGGATCTTCTTATAATGAATCTCAATATCATTTACTTTCGATTTCTAAAAGTGGGCGATAATATGTAAAAACAAAGTATTTTCAATTTAGACAACATCATTGTGAATCATCGCTTGGTCCAAAGAAAGCAGACGTCTGCCTGTACAAGGAAAAATATCTTACCTCGTTCATGGACTACTTTAGTCCCACTATGCATCGTTATTTAGTGTAGAAATTCGCGAGATAACAGACAAATTTGACATTTTTCAAATTTGTTATGAGCACAAATGTTCATGACGTCAGAAATTTTAGTGTACACAGGATGTTGAGGATGATTCTAAAATTTTCATACACATTTACATATTGCTAATGTTTGAAGTGACGAATGCAATTTGTATTATAGAATATTAATTAAAATGAACCCAGGTAACTTTCCACCAAATCCCTATGGCAACGGTGCCGGAGGTCCACCAATTACTTATAGTAACGCACCTGTAATGTACTCTGGAAACTACAGATCACAAAGGCCAAGATTTGATACAAGTTCTGGAGGAGGAGGCCCAAGGTTTCAACAAAATGATCAAGGATTTAGGAGTCCCCAAGCATATAAAAATAATGGCAACAATGGCAGACAAGGTTTTATACCTTTAGGAAGATCTCCTAGACCTTTTAGTCCTGGAAATTACAATAGTCCCGGAGCTAGCCCAAGACATTCTAGCCCGTATCATCAGAATAGTCCTCAATGGAAATCTTGTCCTATGGGACGGGGTGGTCATAATAATTTTGGTGTAAGTATAAAGTATAGTTATGCTTGTCAGTGAGTCCTTGAGTTGAGGGTAGGACCTCAAACTTTCAATTGAGTATAAATAACGTTCCAAATTTCAAAAAATTTCAGACCTCAGAGGATACATGTACTGCTGACGATTAATTATTTCTTCAATTTAATTTTTTTACATGTGTAACGTGTATTTTTATAATTTGATAATGTGAATGAATGAATAATTTGTATTTCAGGCAAACAAAGACTGTAACCCCGGGGGCAGTGATGACATCAGAGAATATTACCACCCTTCAATGACTCAGGACCCTTGGATAACCTGTAGACCAGTTCCAGTAAAGCATAAACCTGGCACAACAATATAGCAGATCAGATATAGTTTCTAAAACATCGTCTTTTAATAGGCTAGTGATACAGTATAAACAAGAAATATCATCATCGTACAAATATGTGTCTAAAAATGACATGTTACAGTGAAACCTCTCCTTGTGATAGGATTTACTTATAGTAGACCAAGAAATACTGAGTACTTTCTTAGTTTCTGGAATGTGTACATAATAATTTGATAGCAAAAGAGTAACACACCTAGTGTGAAACCTTTTGACTGAATTTTACTGCACAAATTCCTGCAGCGTTTATTTTGAAAAGTTGAAGAAAGTATCATAAAGTGCACTCTGGGATTATAACCAGATGTCAACATTTATTTTGAACGGTTGGAGCAAGGATTTTTTTATTTTCATTTCTTTGGATTGCTTCATTGTCTTCATCTTATGCTGATGGGCATACTTGGAGTGTTTGGATAGGTGCGACAGTAACCTTGTCATCCAAATTCCGAGAAAACTGCTGACTAGTTCAACTTGGAATTTTTACAGATGCGAAAGCAGAGCAAACCAGTGCCAAGATCTGATTAGGTTTTGGGTACCCCGGGTAAATTACTCCGTGGTTATTTTGATTTTTTTGATAAAAATGTGATATTTATCAATGGGAATGTCTTGTTTTCTTGTATCAATGTCTAAAATTTATTTTCTGTACCAATGAATATATGAATTCTGAATAGAATGATTGATTTCTAGCATGATCAGTTGGCACTATGAGGATTATTTTAGTCTACATCTTGGTATATATAAGAATGATTGAGTTGAAGTCTTGCTAAGAATAACTCAGAGTTAGGACTAGCTCTAGAAGGAATATGTAATTTAAAGTACTGTTCTGTACAATATTGTAATGTAGAAGGTAATTAAAATCTTTCTAATTTCAATTTAAATCAATTAAATTAAATTTTAGTTATTCCTTGTGGATTACAAACTTATATCTCATGCAAAATCCATTTGCTGATTTGAACACCAAGCGGAATTGAACCACTTCAGTGCAGTGCGTCACCACTGACTGGCACCAGCAATGTTGTAGCAAAACAGCAATAAATTCTGCATATAGTTATGTGAATTTGATTTTAGTCATGGCTAAGGGGAGGTAGTTTATTTAAATTAAAGATGGCAGTGCAGATAATCCGAGAGAGGTAATACGACCACCAGTGCCATCTTTATTTCATCCTATAACCTATGATGCAGGTTGCTCATTAGATTATTACTAACAGCCCCTAGCTCTAATTTGCTCCTACCTTATGTAGCTCCTAAGCTCCTACCTTAAATAAATAAGAAAGACTGCCTCACTATAAATCCTTTAAATGGTACTAAATGGTAAATTAGATTTTGATGGAAAGAAGGTTATATCCTGAATATCTGTGATTCTATCAACACTCTCATAATTTACCTTAGTGTAGAAAAATCTAAGTGAGAACCCAGGCTTTTGACTGTTGGGGCTTCTTCAATGGAGTGTAATATTATGATTGGGAATCCCAAGCGATACAGAATTATCAAATAGAGTAACATTATACATGATATGATACAAAAGGCAAGAGAAATGCTAGCATATAACATGCTACAATAATCCAGACTGTATTTTGAAAAATTTGAGGTGAAAAGTAGTATCTAATTGTATTTTCGAAATTCTGATATTCTAGAATATTCTAGTAAGTGTGCCCCTAAAACCCCATGTTATCCCATGGATATGCTCATGTCATGGCTAATTGCTTAAGCCTATGCGGGATGACTAATGATGTGTAACTGAAGAACAGTGATTTCAAGTTGACACCAAAGGAAGAGGGGAGGGAGGAAAAAACATGAAGTGATATTCAAGGATAAATATTATAACCATTTGATTAACAGAAAACCTATTTTAAGTATTTTTACCCTTAGTGTTTCTCCTATCTGACCCAGTCCTTTAATCTTGGAAGAAACCATAAATGCTCACCATAACATAAGGATCTTTCCAAGAACCTTCCATGTTTTGCCACACCATGACCAAAGAAACTGTGATATACATGAACAGTGCTCACCATAAATAAATGACACCTGGATTTGCTGGAGTGAGGATTTCCCATGTTAAAAAGAAGAGCATTTTCAAGAGGTCATACGACTGTATTTTGAAAAATTTGAGGTGAAAAGTAGTATCTAATTGTATTTTCGAAATTCTGATATTCTAGAATATTCTAGTAAGTGTGCCCCTAAAACCCCATGTTATCCCATGGATATGCTCATGTCATGGCTAATTGCTTAAGCCTATGCGGGATGACTAATGATGTGTAACTGAAGAACAGTGATTTCAAGTTGACACCAAAGGAAGAGGGGAGGGAGGAAAAAACATGAAGTGATATTCAAGGATAAATATTATAACCATTTGATTAACAGAAAACCTATTTTAAGTATTTTTACCCTTAGTGTTTCTCCTATCTGACCCAGTCCTTTAATCATGGAAGAAACCATAAATGCTCACCATAACATAAGGATCTTTCCAAGAACCTTCCATGTTTTGCCACACCATGACCAAAGAAACTGTGATATACATGAACAGTGCTCACCATAAATAAATGACACCTGGATTTGCTGGAGTGAGGATTTCCCATGTTAAAAAGAAGAGCATTTTCAAGAGGTCATACATCAGTGGATGAGAGTATACAAAATGTAAAATATACAAAACTTAAGGGATGTGTATCTAGATATTATTGGAGAGTATGAAGTCTCAAATTACCATGGTCTGGAAATGGTGATAGAAAATGCAGGTGTTATTTATGGTGAGCACTTTAGTCATAGGCAGATGGGCAATATTTATCATTTTAAATAAAGATGGCAGTGCAATCTGTGTTACATATCCTAGATAAGAGGAAATACCCCAGAAGTCATAGATGTCATCTTTATATACAGAAAGGGTCATCTATGAATTCTGAAATATTTCCTCTTTAAATATGTAATTCTACTACTGCTGCCATCTTTATGTCGGCCTAAAACCTATGTATATATTTGTTCAATATCTCAGATGCGAGTAGAAATAATCTTGATTTACTTCATTAAAAAAAATTCACAATTCAATCAAACTGATGTCATATTTGGAATCTATATGTAAAATTACATTTAGAAATGTGGTTTTGAAAAGAGTTTATCAACTTTGAAAATTTAATTTTCTTTGAAAATGTGACTTCTAGGTCGGGGAGATTCCCCATAGACCCCATGTTGTAAAACCACAAAAAGTGAAATATCTTTTCTTGTGTTGGGCAGATAATATTTTCTTTTACTGGACATATGTTAATTTGTACAACTATCAGATACATAAGGGTAATATGAAAAGTGAACCACTAAAACTGATGCATATTCTAGTTTAAGGGAATTTTGTAATACCCTGCCATGTTAATTACCCCGAATCCGCCACCTGGTGGCGAAACTGGTAACTACCTACTCGCATCTGAGTAATTAAAGATCTAGCAAGCACTGAGGCCAACAAAAAATTGTTTCAATTTTAGAAAATTGGCTTTGTATAAAAACCTCCTACCTCATACCCACCTACCCACCTACGTGGGACATGATACAGTCATTGAAGGGTTCAATTTTAAAGATTTTTAAATCTCAAAATAGCTCTAATTATTAACATTTCTACAATTCCGGCTTTATTTTATGACTAGACAGATAACAGATCCATAAATAAAGGCATATGGGTGCATTGTAATGTGTAATGACCTGAGGGCACCCCAGGGGAATAACTAACTAACTAACTAACGACCGCGAGCATGGGTCCAACAAGCCAGATAAAGAAATTGAAAGAAAGTGTGCTAAATTCGATGCCCCGAGTGGGAATCGAACCCAGTTGAGCTGTAGTAGCAACTTGCTATCAAGGGTCGTTACAAATGCATCTATAATTCATCATAAACTAAGATTTAATAAACTGAGATCTTTAAAATTGAACTCTTCAAAGACTGTATCATGTCCAACATTCGTGGGTAGGTGGGTATGAGGTAGGAACTGCTATGGAGATATCTTAAGGGAAGTGCATCATAGCATTGAATAAAGAATATAAGGGGTAAAACATAAGAATATAAGGGATTGAGAAATTTTAAGAAAATAAAAGAATATTGGGGTACCAGAAATATTGACTGTGAAGGTGAAAATATGAAACTCAAGGAATATGAAGTCAAAAATAAATGGAATATGAAATAGTACTGACCATGTTGTACCCCTGTCATGTCATGTCTATTATGCTGTTTTAGTTAGTAATACATGATGTTCATATCTTGGAGTGTGGGGAGAAAGTGTATTAAAAAAATGAACACATTGTCTCTGTACAGTTTGTATAATTGAAATGAAATAAAGTAATATAAATAATGTTTATTATATTATATTCTTTGAAGGTATATTGATCATGTGACATCCATCAGAAACCTCTGATTTCTAATAGCAACTGAGAGACAACGTATATTTAATTTGACATGACTGCAGGCCCCATGCCTTGTATTAAGGGTGTTATACAGGGTGGTCAAAAAATGGAAACCCTGCATTTTCCTCATAACTTTGTCATTTTAAGAAACTACTCCCTGATATTTCACACATTTGTACATCATTCGATTTCCTACCACCTATATTCCATGACCATCAGACTTATACAGTTGGGGACATAAATAAATGACAGGTGGATTTGCTGAAGTGAGGATTTCCCATGTTAAAAATAAGAGAATTTACAAGAGGCCATAAATCAGTGGATGAGATTATACAAAATGTAAAATATACAAATTTTAAGGGATATGTATCTAGACAATATTGGAAATTATGGGCTTTCAGACCACCATAATTAGGAAATGGTGATCGAAAATCGACCTGTCATTTATTTTTGTCCCCAACTGTAGTCACAATTTTACATCACTTTGAACAACGTGCAACATGCTTCAGGTTTGGCCATCATCATGCGGTTGGCAAACCTGCTCAGTTGTCAATGACCCGAATGCATTCCTCAGCAGGAATGTAATTGTCTTAAGGTCATAATTCTCATATGCTCTATTTTTGCCATATCGCCCCAGGTGGGGACATTTTGGATGACGTGTGCAGGTTTGCCTACAGTGCAATAGTGGCCACTGGGGCATGTTCTTTAAAGTGCTGTAACATTGTGACTATCTATCTGGTCATGAAATGTAGTAGGCTAGTAGGAAATTGAATGATGTACAAATGTATAAAATATCAGGGAATTATTTCCTGAAATGACAAAGACATGAGCAAAATGGCATAAGGGTTTCCATTTTTTTACCACCCTGTATATGGAGGTGTTAACATATCCAAGTATATTTATTAATTTTCAGAAATTCATAAATCGAAGCCCATAATGATTTGGACTTTTCCATGGGGTTCGCATTTTCTGATTTGAAAAATGAGATCACGCTCATGTATTAAGAACAGCAATTGAATGCATGAATAAATCCAATATATATCTTTTATCGACTCTTTAGATGTCATATCATGACATAATCCAATCCATGAAGCCCTTTTCAAATAATGTTCAATATTTCACTTTCTACGTG